ATGATTTTGGAGGCTTCATTGGAATTTGGCTTAACCTAGGTGATTGGGTGGTTGTTTAGTCAGGGCAAGTATGGTGTGATTATGTGTCATTTTAAATAATACAAGGTGTGTCATTTTAAATAATACAAGTTGTGCTATTTTATAGACACAAAGAGATGTGGATTCTATTGAAAAAGACAAAAAAATAAAGGTGTCGGTCCCATATCTTTGTGTAATTATGTCTATAAAATAACACAACTTGTTTCATTTAAAATGACATACACATTTTTCAAATTTTAAATTTAAATTGACCGGTGTGAATTCTGGTTGGTAGACATATTTTTTTTGGAGTTACCCAACCCTAATTACCTCTTTGAGGCGAGTTGGCTCCCTCCGGTGTCCCCACAAGCTTCAACTCTTTGAGCCGGCTATGGGACTAATCCGGAGTGCGGGGGTCAGTGATGGCTAAAGGTTCAGCCCCTCCCCAAGAATGCATTCAGCGGGAATCGAACACATGTCCAACCCCACAATTGGTAGACATATTTACTCTTAATTAACAATCTCTTCGTTTTGGTAATTAAAAGAACACGAGATATTCTCACAATTTGTAAGCACAAGAGTGATAAGACTACTTTTTTTATTTGACTCTTGATCATAGTCGTATTTTTAATGAGTTGATGTCGTAGTAGTTTTGTTAAAGTCTACTTACATCAAACTTAATTTACTATAACCAATTCATTTTTTTTTGGTAATAATAACCAATTCATTTTTAATTGACTATTTATTTATTTTTCAATTAGAAGAATATGATGAAGATGACTATTTCACCTCATTAGACTCTTCAATACTCATTTTGCACATTTGATATGTCTCAAAAATATTTTCCAATGGGGTTCTGCAAACCGACCCTTATGCAACTTATTTTTTCTTTTCTTTTCAAATAACTGTGAAGACCACCCACGACACTCATTAAATTTTTGTTTTTCTTTTGGATCAAATGAGTGTTGTAGGGAAATTCGTGACACTCATTAATTTTTTGTTTATGATCCACGTGTGTTTCATGAACTCTCTTAAGTAACTCATTGAATATATTTTTTTTTAACTCAAATGAATATCATGAATCCCCTACGACACTCATTAACTATCTAACAACTATTTTCACTTCCCCCATCTATAAATACCCCTACACATTTCTCAATACCCTCGTTCTATCAATCACCCTCACATTTTGTCTCAAATTTTCCCCATATTATATTCAATTCTCTTTTTCATAACGAGTTCAATTTTCACAATCATATATTATAATTGTAAAATATATAAAGGCATTGCAGGATGAACATTTGAGAATCAGACCAAAGGAATACAAATACGATGCAGAACCACATTGGACAATCTAAAGACAAAAACTGATGAGAAATTGAAGCTTGAAGGCAATTAGTTTGTCTTTCATTTGACCTGTTAGTTTCATACAATGACAAATTTTGTTATGTTGGAAATTGTTGTTGATGATGATTTTCAATGCGTTTTAACAACAATCTATAATGACAATACTTGAATTGTATGTTGGCATTGCCTCTACAGGTATCTTGGTAATCCGTTATTACGAATGAGTTATTGGATCTCATTTTTCGACATTTTGATCCTCTACCAAATCCCTAGCAAAATACATCCTCTAGAGATGAAGACGATGCATGCACATCAATGTTGATTTGGGAGCTTCAGATGAACACGAAGACGAAGACGAAGAAGTTTCCCCTTTGGTAGTGAACCGAATCGCCCCTTTGGTAGATAATACATCCTCTGGTGAACACGAGTGTGCAAAATAGCAAAATAACTGAACCGAATCGCCCCTTAAAATAACTGATTTTTAAAAATCAGTTCATGAACCGAATCGGTTTTTAACGAACGAGTTTATGAACCGAACCAGTTTAAGAACCGAACCGAATCGTTTCCGAACCGAACAATTTTCAAACCGAACCAAATTGATTTTTATAACTTTACTTTTAATTTTTTTTAATTTTTTTTTCTTTCAAAATAGGGTCAACCCAAACCAGTTCTGAACCGAACCGAACCGTTTCCAACAGAACCGAACCACTTTCGAACTGAACCATTTAAATTAATTCGATTCGATTTTCAAAAATTCAGTTCAGTTCGACCCATGCACATCCATAGTGATGACGAGTGAGGGTGCCATGGGTTCCTGTTGTCTAAAAAAGGAAAACAATTCCTTTATATATTATATACAATTCTTTAAGCAAGTCTCTAACAAAAATTAAATGAATAACATCTAAAATTTTACAACCGGGTGTAACTCTCTACTAAAAACCTTTGGCACTTATGTAATGCACTCGGTTTATTTACCCCAAAATAAAAATAAAAATAAAAATGCACTCCGTTCAAGTGTCTCTCATATAGCCGTTTTTTTTATCACAAGTTTATTTGGATAGATTTTTTTCTCCAAAAATTATTATGATCATAAGTACTGAGTATTTGAAGGTTACTTTTTTTATTATAAAAGTAATAAAAAATTAAAATTATATATATATATATATATATATATATATATTATTTTTTAAGCTAAAAATTCTTATTTTCTTAAAAAACATAAGTCAAAGAATAATTTTTTTGTTCTAAGTTCAAGTCGTTACAATTGCCACCACCACCGCCATTACCTTCATCATTATTATCATTATCGTTGTTGCCACGATTATCATCATCATCATCGCTATCAAAACCACCTCTAGCGTCACCATCAAATTTTGCTTCAATGATTTGTTTTCATATTCTTTTTAGTATTTTATACTTAAAAAATATTTTTTAATTTCAATCTCAATCTCTAATAATTTTTTTAGTTAGAAGTGTTTTTTAAGTATTACAAATATAAAATTGCTTCAGCTTTTTGAAAAATATTCTAAAGAAAAGTAAAACATACCTTTTTTTTAAAATCTATCCAAACAAGCCCTATAGATAATTCGGATAATTTTTACTAATAAAAACCTTGAAGATATTTAAAAACAAGAAGAAATATTTGTTGGATGTTTAAAGAGATGTAATAATAATTTGTCCCGAAACCTTTTAAAAATAATTTTAAATCCTCATAATTAATCTTCTTAATAATACTCTAATTATTAAATACAAGTATTAAATAAATTTCATACTTCTAAAATATTAAATACATGTCATGTTTATTAATTACTCTATTTATTAAGTTTCACGAGTGTATTTTATGATGATATAGCTATTTTTTTTAGCCCTGCCCACAGTTTTTTAAAGCATTTATGACATCATTAAATAGTATCATTTGTTGTAAGTTTTGATTTCAATGTGTAACAATATGGAATAAGCACAGTTGAATAATTGAAAAACATTCATTAATTTTCTATTTAGTTACCTCTCAAGCCTAATTAATTTTATGCAATTGTACGGAAAATATATATTGAAAAATCATTTTATGCAATTTGAATTTAATCTATTATTTCTTTTTTCCTTTTTGATTTCATCAATCTATCATTGGACCTAGATGAAAGAATGAACGCTAAAATGTAGAAATAGCATCTTATAGTAGGTACTTAATTTCTAATCAAATATTACTGTTGGTCTCTTTTTATTTGTTGTTTAGATTTTTTTTGTCATCTAATTGTTGCTTTTAAATTTTGTCCTTATTTATTAATTTTTCACTAATCAAAGTCAGTAAGAATTAATATTTAAAAAAATAATGATTAATCACATATAATTGTACATTTTAAATAATCATGACTATTTAATAATTTTCTTAAAATCAGTGTAATTACCATTAGGGAGGTCCGACCGGGACCTTTGTCCCTCCGTTGGGTAGCCATAGAAAGCATGTTTGAATTGAAAAATCTAAAAAAGTAAGAAAATATTATTTTATTATTAGATTAATACTTATTGACAAAAAATGAAATTATTGAAAATTATGTAATAATATCCATCACATTTTATTCATTATTTATTTCTTTCATTACATTTCCCTATTTTTTGCAATCACCTTTTTTCTTTACTTACACATGCAATAAGAGGTTGTACAAAATAACATACTATAAGAGATTTATAGCATATATATTTTTTTTTAAAAAGCCTTAATTTTAACGTGAGCCAGAAAAAACCATCTCTTATAATTTTTGCCTAAACCATAATTTCAAATTTGAAAAAAATAAAAATAAAATCAAACACATGATTAGTATATTGTCTTTGAGGAGAGACTGAATTATGACTTGATGGGAATAACCTTCCCCTGATATTGTCTTAGATAGTGTTTTCCTCTCACTTTCCCCTACCATATATATATAAGAAATGTTATTATTATATTAAAAAATTGTGATTCGTAACCTTTATTATGGAACACATACCAAAATATCGTTGTTTATCAATTTTTTTATCCAAATATCATTATTTCTTAATATGTGGATAAGTTTATTGGACATTGTAACAAACTCAGTTTGCTAATGTGTCATGTTTCTAATGGACATTAAGTATCAAATTTGCTATTTGAGATAATGAACTTGATTGAAATGCATAATTTTTTTTATTTTTTTCGGAAATCAAATGCATAATTTTATATATTGCAATCAAGTTCGCTGTCTAACGAGATGACACAATAGATACAGTAAATAGTGACATTTTAATGAGTGTTTCCTTTGTTTATAAGGTTCACGCATAGCAGACATTACCTTGTCAGAATCTGTTCAGGGTCTGGTAGAGGTGGAGGCGGTACGAATTGGACACTTTCTATAATATTTTTCAACAAGGCTGAATAGATGCACGTGGTCCGAAAAAATGATGGTTCGTGGATCCGGGTATCCAACTACCCACCACGTGTCCAAACACGATTGGCTCTAAAGGCATTTAGGGAATATCAATAATTCAATTTTCTAAAAGAAAACTTTATTGCATATGAATGAAAATGAAAATGACAATGAAAATAAAAATAAAAATAAAAATTGTACTTATATATATATATGTAGGTGGTAGCTAGTTGGGTAATTCATTTTGTCACGTCACTGTGTGAAAGCAAAGAAGCTGACTGGAAAGAGCGAAAAGCGAAGAGAGACAGCAAGAAAGAAAAATCTGTATGTCATTGACATATTCATACACTCGTTTCCCCCTCTCCGCGTGGATCTCTCTCTGATTCTTCAGTCTTCGCCATGGCGGAGCGTGCTTCTTACGGATTAGGTCCTCGATTAGGTCAGATTTTTCTAACGATTCATTCATTGATATTCTTCTTCCTTCTTTTATTTTTTTATAGGAATTAAATTAATATTTAATTTTAGACTTATAGAATGTTTAGATCCTTTTCGGGAAGATTTCGCGTTACGGAACTTCGTGAAATTTCTATTATTGTTTCTAGAAGTTTGGAATTTTGTTTTTTTGTTTTTTTGTTTTTTTGTTTTTTTTTTTTGTTTTTATGAGAATAGGATTTGAATGACCTTGTTAGCTCAATTAGGTTTATTGGGTGAAAGTGAAGAAGAGTGTTTGATGATTTTAGTTGAATCTGTCTAGGAAGTGTGAACGGTTCGGACTATTGGTATTGGTTCGCTTTGAATAGAATGTGTTCCTCTGATGAATAAAGATATTAATTATTGCTATCAAGAAATATGATACTATATGGTAATGGGCGAAAAAACTAATATGTGTCTGTTGCAAATTTAAAATCTATGGCCTCTTAGAAAGTTGAGCCGCATTAAGTGGACTTGTAGCAGTTTTCTAGCTGGCTGGATTCCAAATGATAAAACAAACTACATACGGCTCTACTTTCTCTGTAGTAACAAATTTATGTAGTTCAAAGAAATTCTCCTACGTCTATGGTCTCACTGCATTTTCACTATGCAATGAGAGTTATGCACAGCGAGAAATAAATTGCCTTGACAGATGAATTCCCTTTGACTATTTCAGAAAAGAATGCCACTTAATTGCTTTTTACACATTTCCTCAAGGAATTTTTTTTTAGGTAGCGCATATCTCTGCTTGCTTTACTGATAGCAACACCCTCTGCTTTTGTGATTGAAAGAGCTACAATTTTTTGTAGTTGCGATGCTCAACTAACAGGACTTCCATCCAAGGTGTAATGATAGCCAGTAGTGCTTCTTCTATTATCAATATTTCCAAATTTTAAGTAGGGTTCAATAAAACCTTGCAGAGTACCCTTTTTTAAACAAAGTGACAATGACGTGTTAGTTGTTACTTCTCAGATACCAAGGATCCATTTGACAGTCTCCCGATGTTGCATTTCTAATTAGCTGTGAACCTGCTCACTACTCCATAAGCTATGTTAGGTCTGGTAGAAACCATTGCATGCTTTAGGCTACCAACTGCTGAAGCATCAGGAAACTTGAGACACAAAATCATGCTCTTCTCCCGATGTTGCATTTCTAATTAGCTGCATCAGGAAACAAGGTCATGAGTTCGAATCTAGGAAACAACCTCTTTGCAATTATGTAAGGTTAAGGCTGCGTACAAGGATTACCTCCACCCCACACTCGCTAGTCGGGTTTAACGGGGAGTGGTTGGTTCCTTAGATAGCCTGAAGTGGCTAGCCAAAGGAGTGCTAATCAGTTTTGAATCGTACATTCTAAATTTTCTCAACACTTTTTCAATGTTGCCAGCTTTTAAAAGCTTCAATTACTAGCCACTTTATTCTGAACAGTTCTCATCCCAAGAATTTTCTTTGAAGTTACCAAATTCTTCATTGCAAATTATTTTGGTAGTTGTTGTTTAGCGTTGATCTTGTGGATGCTAGATCCTTCAAAAAGTATGCCATCTATGCAAAAGAATATGGTAACATAACAATCATCAAAATGTTAGTTAGCAGCATTTCTGTATATCACATCTCCTAAAGCCAATAAACCATAGTTACATGGATAAATCAAATTTCTTTTGCATGTGTGGTAGTAATAACTAAATTTTTTCTTATTGATACATTTATTTGTATGGCTGTAGTTCAATTCTTGAAGTTTGCTTGGATCATTGCACTGATGATACAGTAATAAAATATTTAACTGAACGCCATGTTATTTTTTTTTATCAATGTGCAGATATTCAGCAATTACAATTTGAAGCCCAGCATAGATGGTTGCGCCCTGCAGAAATATGTGAAATTCTTCGTAATTATCAGAAGTTTCAAATCACATCGGAACCGCCGAACAGGCCACCGAGTATGGTTTCTGCATATGTTACTTATTGATTTATTATTACCACCTATTTGAGTCTTGTACATATATGGTTAGACTGAATTGCTTGGGAAGCTTAAAATCACTTATCCTCCATGAATTGTTTGTAGCAATTGATTTTTGTGAAGTTGTTTGGCAACCTTTTATATGCCAATTGTGGAGGTTGGAGATGGCTGTCTTGCCTTCCTGAAATTCAGCTGAATTCATATAATAGTTCATTTTAATTCTGCTTAGAGTTTTTTAATTGTTCATTATCTGAACTTAACATGTTCCCACTCAACAGATCGTATATATTTCAGTTCTCTTCAAAGAATATGAGTACGTTTGGGTTATTCCATAAATAATTTTTTTCATGAAATTTAGCAACAAAAGTGCACCTTATATATTCTTATTGCTTAACCTTTTCAGTAGTTTCTAGGGTACTATTAGTTGTTCTGTTGTCGTTCATGCTAAAACCTTGCTTCATAGTTTAACTTGAATACATCTTTTGGCTTTCATTATTACTTCATTTTCATAAAGGCTTTGCTTCTTGACATGTATTTGACGATTGCAGGTGGTTCACTTTTTCTTTTTGATCGGAAGGTTTTGAGGTACTTTAGAAAGGATGGACATAATTGGAGAAAGAAAAAGGATGGAAAGACTGTGAAGGAAGCTCATGAAAAGTTGAAGGTAAGCTTGAACTTTACTTTTGCTTTGAGTTTATGGTTAATAGTTATCAACTCACAATTCAAATTATGAATAGCCAAGTTAATTTTTGAATTGTAATCGTAAATCGTATTGAATCATAAGATTTAGAGACACAATGAAAAATGGCTTGAAATGTATCATATTAATGATCTATAATGCTCAATGCAATAACTTCAAACTAGGAAATAGGAATTGACAAAACTATTTAACCCTAAGGCTTAGAAAGCAAAATTATAAGTCATTAAGTCATAATTAATAACCACATGAAACCAATGTTTTAGAAGAACAAAAACATAGTGATGATATATAGGATGAGTGAGTAAAATAAGGCAATAGAATAATCGAATAGGCTGCATTCAGTAGTGCTCCTTTAGTTCCTTTTCTTTTAACAATTTAAACTTATGTGGCTTTTTAATTTCTTTTTGAGAATCATTGAATTGTGCAATTCGTGTTAGTGATACGGAATCGAATCGATTCATATATATATATTGCACAATTCAAAGCCATCTTTGATTCATCACATTATACAAATTGTTGGCTTGCCAAATCGTGCGATTTGAATTGTTGCGAATCTTGTTATTCTAATGTGTGTGTGTGTGTGTGTGTGTGTCTATATATATATATATATATATATATATATAAGATAGCTCAATTGATTTCAGTTAGTTTTCTCTAATTGGAAGATAAGTCTTTATAACTCTTAAATAATTATTTGCTGATGTTGTGACATCCTTCAAGCAATTTAGGTGGGAAGTGTTGATGTGTTACACTGCTACTATGCCCATGGAGAAGAAAACGAGAATTTTCAGAGGCGAAGCTATTGGATGCTTGAACAGTGAGTATAATGAACTAATTTACTTTTTAATATTTTGTTAATAATTAATGTCTTTAATTTTAAAGTGCATCAATATTTCACATGGCAGTTGCTATCTGAGTTTCTAAGTAAGTTCTTTGTTTGTGCATTTGTAATCACATTTGGAGTCAATTTGTAGCTATTTTTAGTAACTATATATTGTTGGAGTTTTAACTATTTTTCTGTTTCTTAGCATAATTTTAGTTTTGAATAAAGTTCTACTGAAATAATTTTTTTCTTAAAATTAATCAGAATATGATTTTCTTATTATTATTTTTTTCTGCAGGGATATGATGCATATAGTATTTGTCCACTACTTGAATGTTAAGGTATTTTGGTTGTTTTCTTTATTTTAGACTGTTGTTCTTGCTGGTGGTATTTTTTTTTTATCAGTTTTTGGTTTTCCATGTGTCAGTTTAGAAATAGAATTCAGAAAAATATTGTTAATAGCGTGTTAATTTATCTTTTCCAAAAGAAATTTTATTTCTTTTTTGGGCTTGCTTGATGTATAGAGTGCTGGAAAGTTAAAAGATAAGTATTGCTAAATAGAATCGCGAATCTCATTTGTTACACCTTACTAGAGCTGTCGTTGCTTGGTTTGTTGCTGGTGTACTATCAACCGGAGAAAGTATGGCATCTAGTGGCTCAAGTCAAGTCTATTCTGAGCTTTTTCATCCTTAAAGCTTCCCTCTAAATTGGTGGGAGGGAATAGAGTACGCGTACTATTTTCCTCCCCGTAAACCATCAACTGTAATGTGAAGGATAATTTATCTTCCATCTGGTTTCCTTCTCAATTTCTTGCTCTGAGGATTGAGGAATAAGCTTTCTTTTTTAGCGTTATAGCATCCATGATATGCTGACATACAATATTTCTCTTCTGCTGCTAAATTATGTTATTCTCTTTCTGCCAAGGAAAGTTCCTTGATTTTTGATCATTTAAAAATCCCAATTGATGATACTGAATAAGTTGCACAATATTTTGAAAAGTTCCTGAAGTCCATTTCTATAATATTATTCTCAAAATAAGGCAGAAAGCTTGTGAAGCTAGTATTGACTCGCTTGTTTGATGACATATTAATAGATGTTTTGTGGGTTCTTTATCTTTCAGATTAACAAGACAAATATTGGTGGAGGTACAGATATTGATGACATTAGATCAGATTCCCAAGAGGGCAGTTCTTCATCATCTGGCTTTCCCACAAATTATAGGAATGTGCCTTCAGGAAGTACAGATTCCATGAGCCCAACTAGCACTTTGACTTCTTTATGTGAAGATGCTGATTCAGGTAATTCTGATATATTTATTTCATGGATGTTAAATTTTGCTTACTCCTTGTGATCTGAATCAATATGCCAAGGCTCTGAATCAACATGTTACACAAGAGTTTGCCCATTTGGTCACCCCTAAATTGTTTGATCAATTTTTTTTCCCAGAGGATATTCACCAAGCAAGTTCAGGATTATATTCGTTCCGTGAGTCACAAAATATGGGGAATGGTCGTCCAATGGATAAGATTGACGCTCCTTCAAATAGTTCATATCTTATGCATCCCTTTTCAGGTTACCTCATCTTTTTTTTTTTTTCCTTCTTAGATGATTATTTTGTGACTTCTATTTAACATCTAATATTAAGCTAAATCTCAGTTCATAAGCTATTTGTGGGATTTAACATTTGAATTTTGTTGTATTTGAACATATTTTCAGGTGGTCATGGACAGTTCTCAATTTCTGGAACAGATTATATTCCTCTTGTTCAGGGGGATAAATCTAGAGCAAGCGCTACTACATACTTTGAGCATCAGAGAGCACATGGCATGGCATCCTGGGATGTCATGGAGCAATCTGCAGGATTGCAAACTGATCCTCCTCTTGTATCATCTCCTTCCATTCCATCCAGTTCAATGGGAAATATCCTTGAGCAGGAACATACAGTTATGGGAAACATTTTAGGGAGTAAAAATACCCTTGTCGAGGAGGCAGAGGGTTCTCAGTCTCTCCTGTCAAATTGGCAGGTACTTGCTTTTACTGCTTACTATATCATCCACTAGCATCGTCTTGCTTGCTTGCTTACAGCCCAGTTCTCAGGACATAGGTGAGTAGCATTTGTGAGGTTCTATTAGGAGCAATTGTGCCATCTTGTAGGATGGGGGAGAAATGGAATTTGCTGCCCCTGGAACATTAAATTGTTAAAGTTTAAGTGCATGCTGTTTGGTTGTTTTGTAATGTTCTATCCTTGAAGATCAACGCATCATTGTTAATGGGATTGATGCTTGATGAAGTGTATGGTTCACCTAATCTTTTATCTTTGAAAAAAGGAATAGTTGCTGAAGGATGGGGAAACTAGCTAGGTGGGAATTTGTGGGAGTTATTGCTTGATATTAAAGAATATTGAGAGATTCAAGATGTTGAATTTATAAAGTACAACTACAAGGAATGAACTCTGGAATGTAAGAGCCATCATTTAGGGGTTCTGAAGGCTCTTGTGATTTATTGCGTTGTTGAAGTGACCTGGCAGTACAGTTATTTCCTTTCCATGGCAGTTAGTCATTGGTCCATGCGTAGTAGTTATTTTTAATATGATAGAATGATGAATCGAGGTGAAGCATATTCATTACTTCTTGTTACTGATCTGCATGTTAGTACTAAATGGTTTCGAGTTGTTTCTGAAATTGTAGAAATGCTAGACCACATAGTAGGGTTTATCTTCTCTTTTTATTACAAATGCTAGAATACATTGTAGAAATTGTTTAAAAAAAAATTATGTAGTGGTTTAGTAGCTTGAACTATTGCTAAATACCTTGGTGGGGGGCAGAGACTATGTATTAGCTTGGTCTATTTTTATATATGTTCTTCAGCCTTGCTATTTTAACCTGTAGTGGTTTCTCTTATGGGAATGCTTTAACTTACAAATCCTCAATTAGGGGAGGTTAAAGATGGTTTATGTTAGAAATGAAGGCTGAGAGAAATTCTCAGAGGAGGAGAATGCTCCATGGGAGGAATAGCTCTTGTATTGTGTATTATAAAATTAAATAATCAGTGTGTTGTATTCATTTATCTTGTGTCGTGCTTCCTTTTTTGCAACTGTTTGAATAACAATCCAGGGCTGTAACATAATATATAACTATTTTCATTTTATTTGAATTGTTGATCCAGATTCCTTTTGAAGACAATACAGGAGACTCACCTAAATGGAGCTTAACCCATTCATTGAGTTTGGAATTTGGATCTGATTATTGCACTGGTTTACTGGGGGATGAAACTAATAATACAAGTCCAGAACTTGCTCCTGACATGTTCGCTTTTGATGATGAGCCAAAAGAGCAGCCTCTGCAGCAGATCTTCTCAAAGAAGCATACAGATGCACAATCTCAACATGCACTGAAATTCAATTCTGAGTATGAAGATCCTGGTGAAGAAAGTATCAACAATACCTTGATCGTGAAGCGTGCATTATTGGATGGAGAGGAGAGCCTGAAGAAGGTTGATAGCTTCTCTAGGTGGATTACTAAAGAACTTGTCGGGGTGGATGACCTGCATATGCAGTCTTCTCCGGGTATTTCATGGAGCACAGATGAATCTGGGCATGTAATAGATGATACCTCTTTGAACCTGTCCCTATCTCAAGACCAGCTCTTTAGCATAAATGATTTTTCACCTAAATGGGCTTATGCTGAATCAGAAATTGAGGTACTTATCTTGTAGATAATACGTACATAAAAAAGTGAGAAAAGTGAAAACAGAATTAAGATAAACTATCAACTTATACTTTGATTTGAGATTCACAAAATTATGCTATATTTTTTAGCCAAACATTTATGGTTTTGTAGTTTTTTTTACCTCCTATGTGCTGGGAATAAGTAATTAAATATGTATGGTACATGGAGTTTTCACTTAGATTAGTATTTTTTTTCTTTTGCCATCTATTTAAAAAGATGGTTTCCATAAATTTAAGCTTTTTTTTTCATTTATATATCTTTTGTAACATTAAAAATAAATTTTATATTAAAAGTTATTTGTTGTGCTAATTGGAGGAAAAGTATTAGCACTGTGGAGGGGTAGACCCACATTTCTTCCTAGGCTCACAGTGGTCCCTTTTTAGTACTTTTTATCTCTGTATTTCCTTTCATTTCTTTCTTTATTTAATTCTTTTCATCTTATTTACTTTTCTCTCTTATTTATCTTTATTTTTATTCTATTTTTTTTTGTATTTTTTAATTTTTAATTTTTAATTTGTTGATGTTGATGTTGATTTATTTATTTATTTTCCCTCGATTTTTTCTTACTTTTATTTGGGTTTATTTACGGTAGACCTCAACTAGTTTGGGATAAAAGTATTGTTGATGTTGATTTTATTATCTCTTAAATAAAATAACAATATTTTCTTTGTCATTTTTATTTTTTTGGTGTTCAAGTGAGAAGGAAGTAGAGGAAGATAATGGAATTATATCGTCCATACTAAATTTTTTAGGTCGTAAAATAATTGTTATTTTTATATCAAGTCATTATTTTTCAGCTAAAGTTAGGTAAATTGGATTAAAAATCTTAGTGTCCGAAAGAGTAAGACCTCACAAATCACTTTTGTATATAGATTAGTAATAAATTTCTGCAGCAAATCTTTACTGAACATACTTGGGGAAAAAGGCTCTACTGTCCTTCATCAGTGAATGTAAACGAGGTTTTATTTGATGATGACTGCAGACCAAGGACTTATATCTAGGCATGGTTGTATGAAATCTATAATATCTTGTTATATTCTTTCTTAAATTCTCCAGATTTTACTGCAAGTGTACACTCTCCTAGTAAGGCTGTTACAGTATTCATGATGTGCTTTTTTGCTTTAGTATTTTATACGTGATTAATCGTTTTACTCCTTTTTTTATGGATCTCTGCTCCAACATGAAATGAAGAGAAGCCAGCTGTAATTTGACTGACATTTTATCCGATTCAAAATCATGTAGGTGCTGATTATTGGAACATTTTTGAAGAGTAAACTGGAGGTGGTAACATGTAACTGGTCCTGTATGTTTGGGGAAGTGGAAGTTCCTGCTGAGGTTTTAGCTAATGGAATTCTGTGCTGTAAAGCTCCACCTCATCAGATTGGACGGGTCCCTTTCTATGTAACATGTTCCAATAGGTTTGCTTGTAGTGAAGTTCGGGAATTTGAGTACAGAGAGGGTTTTGCTAGAAATGTAGATATTGCAGATTTTTTTGACAGTTCAACTGAAATGCTGCTGCATTTGGGACTGGAGGAGTTACTTTCTTTAAACTCGGCGCACCCTTCAGATCAAGTGTTTGAGGAGGATACGGAGAAAAGAAACTTAATTTTTAAGCTTATTTCACTGAAAGAGGAAGAGGAGTATTCGAGTAAGGAAGAGCCAACTGTAGCGATGAATATATCAAAACATAAGTTGAAGGCGCAAATGTTTCACAGGCAGGTTAAAGAGAAGCTGTTCTCATGGCTTCTTCACAAAGTAACTGAAAGCGGTAAAGGGCCAAATGTATTAGGTAAGGATGGGCAAGGTGTGTTACATTTAGTTGCTGCTCTTGGTTATGATTGGGCCATAACACCAATTATATCTGCTGGTGTTAATATCAACTTCCGTGATGTGAATGGATGGACGGCTCTACACTGGGCTGCATCCTGTGGCAGGTGAGGACGCATTTCATATATATTTTTTTTATTTTTGAGTTGATTTTTCATATGATGCAACAACAATCTGGTTGAAACTTTCTTCGCCACCCTAATTATCTCCTCTTTTCCTAAGTTTTGGAATTTCGGATTTGATTACATATGTAGCCATTAGGTGCTAGCTTTCAGAATTAGTCAAGAGTATTCCTTTTCAAAACTGCACTCAGATATATCATGTTCATTCAATGTGACACGTTCCTTGTGTTCTTATTTGTCCCCTGCTCAGAGAGCGAACAGTTGCTGTCCTTGTCTCCATGGGTGCAGCTACTGGAGCATTGACAGATCCATGTCCAGCATTTCTTTCAGGTAGAACACCGGCAGATCTTGCTTCTAGCAATGGCCACAAAGGAATTTCTGGTTTTCTTGCGGAGTCATTATTAACTAGTCACCTTGAATCACTCACAATGGATGATCTGAGTAAAGACAGTGGGAAAGAAACTTCAGGAATGAAGGCAGTGCAGACAGTTTCAGAGCGATTTGTGACACCTGTTCATTTTGGTGATATACCAGATGCTATCTGCCTTAAGGATTCTCTGAATGCTGTCCGTAATGCTACACAAGCTGCTGATCGTATACATCAAGTATTCAGAATGCAGTCATTTCAGAGGAAGCAATTAGCTCAGTGTGAACATAATGAGTTTGGGTTGTCAGATCAGCAAGCTCTTTCCCTTCTAGCTTTTAAGACATGCAACTCTGGACAAGGAGCGGGTTTAGTGAATTCTGCTGCAATAGAAATACAGAAAAAGTTTCGTGGTTGGAAGAAGAGAAAAGAATTCTTGATCATTCGTCAAAAAATTGTTAAAATCCAGGTTCATTGTTCTGCTTCTTAACTTGTGGTTTCATTTTTGATATTATGATTCTTTTCAGTAAACTGGATAATTACTTAGACGCTAATTTCTCATTGAATCATCCCATCAACTATTCTCCTATTTGGGAGTTGTTATGTGCAAACTGATGATATTGCATTGGAGTGTTCAATTGATGAAAACTGAGGGAGGAATGCTAAAATGCTTTTTCGTTAAATACTTTTCAATCTCTTTTTGCCCTTTATATAACTTGCACCTACATGTCGATAACGTTGAGTGTTAACATTAACAACGCATTCCATTCTAGTTGTAAGGAAATCTGGGGTTAAAAATTTCTTCGTATTGGGATCACCCTTCCATTCATTTTCTTGGTGATGTTTTTTCCGTCTCTTTCTAAAGTATTTACAGTATGGTTGCTGTAGAAGGCTGGAGACTGAGCTCTCTTTTTTCTCTCTTTCTCCACGTGTGTATCTTTCTTTTTTTGTGTGCCCCTGTACATTTAAAAGATGCTTCCACTGACTTGAATTCCATTGTGTTAAGGCCCATGTAAGAGGTCACCAGGTAAGGAAGAAGTATAAATCAGTCATTTGGTCTGTGGGAATCCTGGAGAAGGTGATATTACGCTGGAGACGTAAGGGCAGGGGTTTACGTGGATTTCGACCAGATGCGCTTGATAAGGTCCCCATGCAAGCAAGCGATCCTTTGAAAGAGGATGATTATGATTTTCTCAAGGAAGGAAGGAAACAAAGTGAAGAAAAGTTCCAAAAGGCCCTTTCAAGGGTGAAGTCCATGGTTCAATATCCAGAGGCACGGGCTCAATACCGGCGGGTGCTAAATGTAGTAGAGGACTTCCGTCAAACCAAGGTATTTTCTAACATAATGGCTGATGTCTAAACTCATGAATATTTGGCTTAATGATATGTTCTTCTGATATCTAGCAGGGATCCAATTTGAATTTGATAAATTCGGAAGAGACAGTTGATGGTGTAGAGGATTTGATTGATATTGACATGCTTTTAGATGATGAAAATTTCGCACCTATTGCATTCGATTGATCCTCTGCGGTGGCTACTCCTATTCTCCCCCCTGTAAATAGATGGCCAGTCGGTTTTATTCGGCGTTGGAAAGGTCCTAACATCATGTATCGCTGTATATATGCCTAATCTGGACTACTTGGATCCTAGGTGGTCCTGTTTTATACCAAAAACTAGTTTGGATCCTAGGCTGGGTATACATAGATTACAAAAGCTAGAACGTATTCAGGTTTGACAATGCAAATATTGCAGTCTAGCATGGTTTGATTTTATATACGGTGATTTTTACATGACAGTATATATGCTTTTATTTGGCTTAATTACGCTTTTAGTCCTTGTGGTTTTAGTTCCTTTTTTATTTTAGTTTTGGTCTAACTTTTTATAAAATGTGTCTATTTTAGTCCCTATCGTTATAAAAGCCCTATTAAGTGATTAGGTGAACTCAGCTCACACTTGCTACATGTTACTGCTTATCCATGTGGCATGTCATATATATCCATGTGGCATTACTGCACCGTTTGCCATGTTCCACCCCGAACCCCTGTAATTCCTCTATTTTCAAACCTCAAAATCTCTATCATCCAGCAGAACGTAGAAGAAAGCGCCAAAAACATAACTCAATTCACACACAACACCTTTGCCTATTTTTTGCCACATGGCAACGGCACCTCCATCGTCTAACATCCCAACACGTCTCTCCCTCCGTAGTTGCACCACAGCCTTCATTATTGAACTATCAATGCCTAGGAACCCCTTTTGCACTTCCTATTGAGGAAATACGCAGAACCGATGTAGTGCGAAACCATCAAACCGATTAGACAAACTAGTTGCACCATATCGTTTTTTTTTTATTTTAAAAAAAACCATGACCATTGATTTTTTTTTTTTTTTTTAACTTGGGTCACAGGTTTTTATACTTTAATATTGTAAGAGCATGAGTTTTAATCGAGTCCCTCACATGATCAGTTTATTACTTGAATCGAACTGATTAAATCACGGATTTACCAGGTTCCGATTCATACTAGCTAATTCAAGACAGGTTTAATAACATTGGTTAAATACTTAAATCTATATTATTTAGTTATATGTTTTTATTTATAGTTATAAAATATTATTGTTTTCGCATTGTTTCTTAAAAATAAAAAACAAAGTTTACAAAAAAAAAAAAACAAACGCACTAGTTTGTGAATAACATATTCTTATTAATGAGAAATTCTATAATTTACAAGAGCGAAAGTTCAACTAAATTCCGTTAGCATGATATAATTCCTTGAGCCGAAATTAGTAACATAACCTGCGAAAAGAAAATTTCTTTTTTTGATACATGAATAGAAAGAAAGACAAAAGAAAAAGCACAGGCTAGTCCTTTCTTCGCGTAGGATGATAAACGCCAGCAATGTCCATCTGGAGAAGAAGCTTCAAAGAATGAGGAGGATATGCAAAAATAGACTCATCCGACAGTGAAGAAAACCAAAGGAAGGAGACTCTCAACGAACAAAGATATCCAAAGGACGAGAAAATTCAGACTCAAAACTGTTCAAATTGACCGCACACTAACTAATAATGCTAGCTGAAGAATGCGGTAAAGAAGGTGCAACCGCATGAGAATGAGCAATGACGTTTCTCCAAAGGCAAACATGATAAATAACAACAAATAATATAGTCAAATCTTCTGTACATCTGTCATTCAACAAGTGACACTTGGATAAAAAAAATATTTTTCTCTTCTTTCCGTACAAACATGATAGTCATTCCTCATTTTTTATTGGATAGATGCACTTAGTGAATGATACAGTAGTAGTATCATAAATATTTCCCAAATTCTGAACCTGCAACTTATCCAAAAATCAGAAGTCACTCAACCAAGAATACAAGTCTCCCGAAAAAATTTCATCTTGTTTGTCCAATAGAATAAATTCGCACCAAAGCTCACGAACCACTACACAGTTCCAAAAAGCATGCAAAATCGATTCATCCTCATGGTTACAGACATGACATAGGCTATTATTGTGGGACCAAGAAACTATTCAAAAATTAGCCAAAAATTTACCATGAACTAACTTCCACGGCAGGAGTTTCATGCAGTGAGAGCCACACCATTTTCAGATCTTAGACCAACACCAATCATCCCAACCAAGATGATCTAAGGCATGAGCCCCAATAAGCAGCGAATACAATGCTTTAACAGAAATCAACTCCCCTGTAGGTAAGGACCAATGTTTTTGGTCAGGAGGGTCCAATGTAGTGGGGGGAAGAATACTTCGAAGGTGAGGAATCATGTTCTGGGATAACCTATTCTTCAGAATATCAACCCGCCAATCCCAGACTTAGAAACGTAATCAATAATCAACTTGGACTGATTAATTACAAGGACATACAAGGTGAGATCACTAAGCGAAACATCCTTGAACAGCCAGTGATCAGACCAAAAATGAATAGTTCTCCAATTACCATTTGTCCATGTAATATGGAAATTAATTTTCTCCCACAGATGACAAAAATTATTCCATAGGCGCGAGCACCTGGAAGTAGACATGAAGGAAATAGCACCATTATCACAATAGAGGGCACGAAGTACCCGACGCCAAAGAGATTGATCCTCAAAGTAGAGACGCCAAATCATCATCAAGGCCAATTTTCTTAATCCTAGGCCACCTTTTTCTTTTGGACGTTGAAGAATATCCCAACCAAGTATGGGATTGCGATGCAAATGAGAGTCACCCCAAATGAAGAATCTAGATAATTCTTCAATCTCCTGGCAAATACCAATCGGTAACTTCTCATACGACATATGAAAATAAGGAATGGAAGCAATTACCGACCTCGCAAGAGTAATTTTTCCAACTTGAGATAACGTGAGCCATTACAACTTCCAAGTTTGGAAGAAATTTTATTAATAATATGAACAAAATGATGCTTCGTAGCTCTACCATGAATCATCCAAGCCCCAAGATAACGACCAATATTTCTAGCACGCTTAAATTAACACAGAGGTCAGAGCTTCAGCTATAGGATCAGGAGTATTTTTTGAAAAATAGAAATTTTTTGGACACTAAGCTTGAGACCAGAAATCTCATCAAAGAGACCAATGGATTTAAGAACTGCGGCTAAGAGAAGGTCGTCCACAAACAATAAATGGGAATTATCAGGACCATTGCTACCTGCAAAAATAGGCTTCCACAAGTTACTCGAAACTGCTGTAGTGATTATATATGTCAATTTCTCCATGGCCAAAACGAAAAGATAAAGGGACAATAGATCACCATAGCGAAGTCCCAGTGAGGGATTAAAATCTATTGTAAAACCACCATTCCACAGGATATTAATCAAAGTAGAGGTTATTGCTTCCATAGTATTAGAGCAAAATTAAGCAGGCAAACCAATCTCATCAAGAACAAGTCTAAGGAAGGCCCAACTAAGACGATCATATGTCTTTTCAAGATCAACCTTTATAACAAAGAAGCGGCATTTGTATTTCATCTTGTGCATACGGTAGATGAGCTCCTAAGCAATAATAATGTTATCATAAATTTGACGTCCATGCACAAAGCTAGCTTGGAAATGAGAGATGATCCGCTTCATAAGACATTGAAGGTGAGCCACAATTATCTTGCTAATAATTTTATAAACTACCAACATAGAGAAATTGGTCTAAATTGAGTAATAATTGAAGGAAGAGAGACTTTAGGGATCGGAACCAAAAGAGTAGTGTTAATATACCCGAAATATTTCTTGTTTAAAAGGTTTTTTTTTTTTTTTTTTTTTTTTTTATTTATTTTAAAAATAGAATAGTGTTGCTAGGCTAAGCACAAGATTTGGTTCGACTTTTTTTTTTCCCGTCTAATTTTCTTCTTCACAAGAACATATTTTTTTTTCTTGCAAACAAGAAGAGAAAATCAATATTCTTCTAGAGAACAATTGGTATTAATTCAATAAATAAAATTATGAATATACAGAAAAGTAATTAAACGATTAAGGACCAGCCCAGACAAGTGGAAAAGATCTATGAAAAAAAAGAAAAAGAAACATATTGTTGGATGCTGATAGAATTTCGAATACACAGCTCATCTAATGGGGTGATACTGATCAGAAACTCGTCTTGGGGGCAGCTTTCGCAGAATGAAAAGCACCAACGCGGATGGAACAATCTCTACCAACTGCAGTGCAGAATAATCAAGAAAAAGAGAACCATTAAAGACTAGAAGGCAATTGATTTTCAAGCAATAGCAATATGAAAAATGTTGATCTTTTTATTTGCTTCCCACATGAAATTCAAGATGGCACAATCTCCTGTTTTCTGAAACTAAATAGCTGGCAATTGCTTTCTATTTAGTAAACCAATTCATATTTTCTTAAACCAAATAAAGTAGTCATTGTCTTAGGGGAGCATTTTATTGTGCTGTCACATGATATAACCAAACATTATCCGCTTTTCCACCCGAGGCTTACAAAAGGAAAGTAAGATGTTGAAAACTTACCAAAAAATATACTAGGTTAAGAATGGGATGGTCCAAGACATCAAGATCTGCCTCCTCATCAAATGCAGAAATTGCAAGCTACATTGAAGTTGACAACGAATATATTGTCAGAGAACAATGATTTCAAATATATACAATAGTTTTAAACAGGAAGGAACTCACCAAAGCACATCTTATCAGGAAACAAGTGCAACAAATACTTGTAACTGAGCCAACCTGCCAAGACACCAACAACTTTTAGCACTGTTTTTATCAACAAAGTCCTCAGACATTTTTTTTTTGGTGATACTTGGAGCATGGTCTGAATTTGACATTATAAGGATATATTTCTTTTCTGAGGTTGTAAGACAGAAAGCAACTCATACTTATATACAAACCTCATAAAGCTTCTTTTGACGACCTCTGGATTCAATGGGGAAGCGCCTCAACAGGAAAAACAACCTATGTTTTTATAAGCAGGTTAGTGTTCAATGACATAAAAGAATGTTGCCATCCGAAAGATGATAGCTTACCTTCCACCATACAGCAAAAATCCAAGAGCAGCACAGAATGATATAACTGCAAACGAACATTAAAACAAAGTTCAGAATACTAAACAGCTACATATGGTAAGTTTCCGAGTAGTAAATACTTCATTGTACACATTCACTCTAGATTTTAATTTTAAGATCATTTATAGATGTTTTAGACTCTGTTTGGATTCTTTCTTTTTTTAAGCTAAAAGATACTTATAAGCTAAAGCTAAAAAAAAGCTCTTAAAAAAAAGCTAAAAGCTGAATGGAAATTATATAAAATTTAGCTCCTCCTAGGAGTTTTTAACTTTTTTCTTCATTATAAAAAAAAGAGCTTTTCTCAAAACCTGTTTGATTTAGCTTATGTTTATAAATAGCTTCTAGCTTACAAAAGAGAGAATTCGAATAGGCACTTAATCTTTTAAACAGTACAGAGTCACATGAAATGTACGAGGGCAAGATGAAATATGATTTTTGATGAGAGAAATAACCTGCAAGGAAGAGTTTAGCAGCTTCCATGCCAGTGGTTGTTCTGCTTACACTCATGTAAATCCAGAGGCAGACCTAATATTATCAGGGGTGAGAAGATTAAAAAAAAAAACATCAAATTAAGAAAACTTGTTATTTTAAGGACTAGAATGGTGGACAAGGAGATCAAACCTGTATGAAGTAAATAAATCCATTGGCAATAAAATATGCAGGCCTAAGTTTCTGTATGGGCTCACTTCTTGCCTAAAATTCATTTGAGGCACAAGAACAAAATATAGTTTACAGAAAATTAATAAAAAATGACTGATATTGTAGTTCTCCCGAAAGAAAGTAAATATACCTGGTGATATATCTCAGCCCAGAACAAGACAAGTAATGCATACGTAGAGAAAAACAGAAGACTAGGAACCTCCATTAGCACTTGCTCCAGTGCCTGTAACATGATATGATAATAGGTCAGAACATGATTGGAAATAAGGTAGTTGTAAGCTGAATTAACAAAGGGAAAAAAGAAAAAGGTTGAAAACAAAGGGGAGAGATCCACTTACTACTAATTAAGTTTACTATTTCTTACCATTAAATCTTAATCGTTGATTTCTGTCAATCTCACCGTTATAATTTATCGGATGACATTTATTATTTAATTATTAATTTTCAATAAATTAAAACCATCAGATTGACCGAAATCAACTGTTAAGCTTTGGTGATAAGAAGTGGTAAACTTAATTGATGATAAGTATATCCTGCCCCGGAAACAAATGACCGAAAAATGAAGGTTATATAAAAGGGCACTTATTTTTTTATTACTCAGGTTATGGAATTTGCGCCATTAGAACTTTTGTTTTTTTGGAATGCTTAATTTTATAAATCATAGTGGAAAGTGGACAACTCATAAACTAGGGTAACAAAATGAAGTTGACCAACAACTCTAGAGTCATGAGTTTTACAAACAGATTAAGAAAATCTTAACATGATGAAGGTAAACTATTTTTCATAATCCATAATCCACTCCAATATTTACAAGACCCAATATCCTAGCTTAGGAAGAGACTTGATATGCTGTATTTTCATCATACTTCCCTCAGCTACCAATGCAAGAAAAGAAGAAGCAGTAACTAATGCCTGAATTCCAGAAGATGAGATTTAAGAATAGGAAAATACCTTTGGTTTAATTGTGAAAACACTATGGTATAAACCGAAAAGGACAGCCCTCACTGCAAATGTAATATGGGTTCAGCAAAAAAAAAAAAAAAAGGCTAACAGAGCTGTTTATAGATAATTCACAACTCTTACATCCATTGACAAGAAAATTCATCAAGTGGAAAACCTTCTGCGTTGTCCACCCATATTCAGGTACCCTCATTTGAATGCGCACCAATTGCACCTGAGAACATACAGATTATGATTATTGATTCCTTTGAGATTATTTGGCATGGAAACACACACAAAGAACACATTCTACTATGTTCAATAAATTCACATCCAAACGCCTTGTTAGGGGACATTTGGTAGAGGAAAACTTTTTTTTTTGTCCGGCAAATATTACTGAAAATATTAACTCAAGTTTACTAATTTTATGTTTGGTTAATTGTTAAATATTATTGAGAATGTCAAATTTTTCCAACACCCGGACTCTAAGAATACCACACACCCTCCTGTTGGTGGTATTCTTGGATGTCATTTTACTATACAGTTCGTCCACAAATCAGAATCTCCATAAATTCAGATTCTCATAATTTTTTTCAAAAACCTTATGACAAACGTGGATAAATAGAATTCCCAATACCACTTTCCCGAGAATCCAAAAATAATCCATGTCCTAAATGCCCCTAATGCTGCTAAGGATCATGGTTTACAAGAAAAGCCTATGTTTTCTCCGCTAAACTGGTTCATAGGATTGCAAAATAATGATTTTCATGGAGAAACATCATTGTTTGATCATCAAAAGCTGTCAGTGGTTACAAGTTTAAACCTCATTGAGATTTGACGTGATGGGATACCCATTGTATAGTATAAGGTCAGTCCAAAACCAAAAAGAAAAAGGGATTGCAAAACAATGCCTATCCAAGGCCATTTTGAAAAAACTTGTCCAGTTTTCCACTCCCAGCTTTCAGAGAAAGCTCTACAAGAAAGCCAAAATTTTCCCGGAAAATGAAAGAAAATCCTACCAGGGCAACAAAGGAAACCAAGGCATAAGCAGCACATAGGGCATAGTAAATGCCTCTCTGCCATTGATCTGATTCATCAATCTCGTCCCACCAATGATTTGCAGCCCCAACCTCAACCCCTCCTTCTCCAAACCCAAATCTCTTTGTCCTGAGTGCAAACTCCATTCGAGCTAGAAATGCAAAGGAACAACGATGAAGAATATTGAGGAAAAGGAAGAAGAAAAAGCAGCAACAGCAACAAGGTAATTTCCTCTGTGTTCATCAGAAACACAGCAAAGAACAGACAGAGGGGAAACATTGGAAGTTTGTGGGTGGACACGTGGCGTTAACCCACCTCGTACACGTAATTGTCTTGTTATACACGTGTGACATCGTGGCATATTCGTTTATTTCGCAGTGGACATGCTTTGCTTTGTTTGAACATTGAAGGGATTATTACAACGATGATGACGATGACGATGATTGATGCCATCAACAACTTTTGGTTTGTGTCCTTAATGGGTTTTTGTGTTTTGACTTGACTTTATCATATTCCTCCGATCAATCAGTGCACACCTACTTGCTAATAAGTTGACCCTTTCCATCTCATAAATTTTAATTTTGATATTCATCATGCGGGGAGATTAACTAATAAATAATTTCTTCTTATAAGGTTTCTTACATCGCGTGAAAATAATCTTTATTTGAATACTGAAAATAACCCTACGTACATTTATTATTTTTTAAGTTCATCTTGAATATTATAAAAGTCCAATAGTACTATTTAAACTTACTTATTATAAACTACCAAAAAAAAAAATACTTCTTATAAGAACTTATATCAAAGTATAATTTGAAAAAAAAAATGGAAAGAAAATCTATAAAAGAAGCTTAGTAAATCAATCAAGTATTAAGTGATGGTATAAAAGAACGACCAAAAAACCAATCTGGTTGAGCTGTCCTTTTTGTTTTTTTATTTTGAACTTAAATATGAAATTCAAACTTGTACCAAAAATATATATGAAATTCAACAGCTTTGGATGAAATGCGTGTTGGGGACCTAGGGAGTAGGGAGTGCGCTTCTGGGGTCACGTGAGCGATCTTTATCAAATTACTATACTAACGTAATATTTTTATATAAATAATAAGAAAAAAAGATGTGTCATTTTAAATGACACACCTTATATTCTTTCACACTCATAAAAAAGTGGGATTCACATTTTTAAAATTTTTCCCACCTATTTTTTCTCCCGTGATTTATCTCTTTTTCTCACTTAAAATGACACAACTTTATGTGTTTTAAAATGATAGATACTTTTTCAAATAATAAATCAAAGCTATAATTTCATGCAGATTATTCAAACTATGGAGTAATTTTAATGGCTTCTATTAATGTAATTTGGCCATTCAATTTTCACCATTGGCTCTTGTGGTGAACCTGATGTAAGATTTCAAATTAAAAAAAAAAGCCGAATTTTGCTTGAAGTTTCTTAGAATTTTTCCTAATGTTGTCATAATGTCATCATTTTATCATGCTCCAATCTTAAAAAATTCGAACTGAAGTCTTTGCCAGCTAAACATTAATCTTTATTTTTACTGCTTGCTTAAGCACAATCTTTCACTGCACTTTAAAAAAAAACAAAGGCCTATGCAAAATTTTCTTTTTTACCCTTTTGGGACAAGAGTTAAGGGTCACGATTAAATTTTCGTGCTTATGCAGTGTATAAAGCGAGACTAATACGATTTTAGTAGTAAATAAAGGAATGGAGTACATATAATTAATGAAGTCGCGTTTTAAGATATTGATAAAGTAAGACTCATACTGTAGGTAAAGTATATTTTAGGTAATTCATATTTTATAAATAGAAAAATATTTATCCTTTTAAATGACCTAAATTATATCATTTCACTTTTAAAGATGTGAGATCCACACCTTTACTTTTTGTGTCCACTTTTTTTTTATTTATCTCTTTTTTTCACTGAAAATAACATAACTTTATATCCTTTAAAATGATATATATTTTTTTCTTTATAAATTTTAATTGGTATGTGTCGGAGTATTCACGAGATTTTACGTAAGGGCAATAAGGGAATTGCAAGTGCTGTAAGAAACAGCATTTTCATATGTGGAAAACTTTGGCCGACCCTAGAGTGGACCCCACATTTCCTTCCCACGGACGGGGGTGAGAAACCCAACCATTAACCAATGCATTTCCTCGTTGGTTGGGTATATAGGAACTATCTGAAGTGAAACCTCAAAACAAAAACAGCTGTAATAATCAAAAAACAGTGTCAGCAATAAAACAACAATACATAGAAACTGCAAAAGTCAACAAGGGCAGCCAGTGCCTTTTGGCCCCCATTCCATTCCAAACAAAACAACACAAAGACTTTCTGAAACAAAACCGGACGGTTATCTTAGTCTTTCAACCATCCCGTATTCCTTCTTATTATATAAGAAAAAAAGAGAGTCTTTTTTGTTGTTGTTGGGTATAATATATTTTCCGCGTTCTTGTTGATTGTGTGTCAATTCCCTCTCTCTTCGAAGAATCAAAGTCGACCCAGTTCCTTTGCAGATCTTCCCTATCATTTTCTCTGGAAAAGTTGATATTTTTTGATCGGTAAGGGTATTTTTGGATTCCCAGTTGATTATTTGGTTGTTGTAAATTTCCCCTTTTTTAATTAATTTTTTCAGGGTGTTGTCCTGGATGATATGGAATTGCTTGTTTGATTGATCGGTGGTTTTTGCTGCCAATTCACAGTTGTTGGAATTTTTTTTGAAAAGTTGTGGACTTTCTCTGACTTTGAGTTTTTTGTTTGCAGTTTTGTATTTTGAAGATTAGCAGAAGAGTTAGATGTTGAGTGATAGAAGGAAAAGTTGAGGTGGGGTGGATAATATGGATAATCTCTGTTGTTTCAGTTCTTTCAGTCAGGTGAGCAATTCTGGCCCCTTTCTAATATTTTCTTTTTCCTCTCCTTTTGTCTTTGGAGTAATCAATCTCCGTGCATATACTATATTACTTAACGTTTCAGATATTTTCTTTGGATTTTAGAAGGGCCTAGGAGGCATATGACCTGGTTAGATATCATATGGCGTATGTCTACTTTGAGAGTTGAGAATAAAGTTCGAGTGGTGTAGTGAATGGACTCGGGACCTTCCCAAGTTTTATTTTCCTAAGCTTATTTGGTGAGAACAAAATTGAATTTTTGTTTATTTATGGCTGTCAAGGACCAACTCTTCTAAAAGTTTAAGCTTTTTTAAATAGAGGCCTAGCAATGGTTTTTTTTAATTTTTTTTTTTAATATCTAATATTCCTCCTTATGCAAGAAGGTTTTGAAGTTGAAGTGTGGTCAATCCACATGCGCGTTTTATCATGTGCTATAAAGAAAAGTGGGGCAATAGAGGATTACACCAAAGGGTCAACTATGAGCCCTTAACTTCTTACCTTGGTTCTGAATGTACTTATTGAGTATAACTAGGAGCCAAAGGCTCAATGAATGCTATATGAATATGATATAGTCCAAGTGGGACAGTCAAGAGAGGGAATAAAAGTTGCGGAGAGAAGCTTTGGAATCACGTGATTTCTGATTATGAAGTAAAATAGAGTAGATGGAATGTAAGATCAGTCAGACGCATGGTTGTGAACATTGGAGATCATATCATACTAAAAGTTTAGGTATCTATCTTGTATCTATCACACAATATGACGGAGAAATAAGGGGAAACATAAATCATGGGATTTAGTTTGGGTAGACGAAATGGAAAAATTCTAGTGTTATTTGTGATTCGAAGTTGTCTATCATGCTTAATGGAAAATTTAGTGAATAGCTATAAGACCAACGATGTTTTATGATATCGAGTGTTGGGTGGTAAAGTGCCAACAAGAGCACAAGTTAAGTATTGTAGAGATGAGAATGTTGTGGTAGATGAGCAAACTTACAAGAAACGATTGGATTAAGAATGATATAATAGAGAGAAAGTAGGGGTACTACCTATTAAGGAGAATATGACATAATCTAGCCTAACTATGTGAAGAGGAGACCAATAGAAGCTCTAGTAAGAAGAATTGCTTAGACGGAGGATAGCCCAACAATAACGGTGGAGGGAGACCTAGGAAAAATCTAAGAGGAACTATTAAAATATTCTAAGTTCTAAAAGGCCTTTCTTAAAACTTGGTTTTTGACATAACACATGGGTATCGTTTGATCCATGTAGCCAACCTCACCTGTGGGAAAAGACTTTTGTTGTTATATAAAGATTAGGGTCGGCAAGGATTAATCTAGTCATAGATGCTCTGATTCCATGTTTGAAAACCTAAAATTATAAGGGTCAGGTGGAAAAGAGAGAAGAGACTCCAAGTGATATATTGATATGAGATTGATTTATTATTATGATATCTAATAATTTAGTCAAGTACTAGTGTAGTAAAACTAGTACAAGCTTTGCCCAATAAAACTAATAATAGCATAATAATCCCAAGACACCAAGAAGGTGTTTGGTTTGCCTATTTTCTGTTTGTATTTTTAATAAAAATGTTTTCATTCTTAATAATAACAGAGACCATGTCAAAAACATGTTTTATGGTGTTTTCATGGGAATGGTTCTTTAAAATTGAGCAAAATCTAAAAACAACAAATAGTTGTTTCCATCTTTTCCTTCTCAAAATTTTAGAAAGAAGAAACAAGAAGTTCAAAATGCAGTGTCATCTTTGTAATTATAATAAAAACTATATCTTCCAAACATGTTTTCAAAAATTTAAAAATTTGAAAAGGAAAATCATTCCCAGAATATTAAAATTGAAAACAAAAATAGAAGATCTTCCTCAATACCAGACAGACTCTAATAGGCCTAATGATTTAACACTTTTCCACAAGCTAAAGCTTATTAAACTTTCAGCTCGTTACAAATAAAATATATTGGATGCAATAAACCATATTTCTGAAGCGATGACATAGTGAATTGAGGCATCCAAACACTACTGGAAAGACACTGCAAAATGATTACTGGAATAATGTGCAGTCAGAAGAGCAGTAGATAGATGGAAGGATGCATATCCAGAAGAGTAGTAGATGGTTAGAATCAGAAAATTTTGATCTGGCTGAATTAGCTTGATCAATAGATAGTGTTTATTGCAGTGGGATGCCAATGATGGGTTTATTGCAGTTTCTCTGGCATTGATTAAATTTGCAACTCCGGTGATGGGACGCTAATGATAATGTTTATTGCAGTGGGATGTTTATCGATGTTATTGAGTATGGACTATGGAGTGTGTTTCTCTTATTTATTTCTGATGTGGCTTAGTGGTATCTTCATACTTGTATTCCCTTTGGAAATCACAGATGTATAAATTTTTCCCCTTTAATATATATTGTTGAAATAGGTTAAACAAGACCTATAAACTCTTCTGTTATTGTATTTTAAATTCTCTATTTTTAGGTGGTTGGAGGGCGTTCTTCATGTAACTCTGGAAAGGGCAAGAGCCATGAGTCCCCTGTCAAGTATGGCTTTAGCCTTGTTAAAGGGAAAGCAAACCACCCGATGGAGGACTATCACGTAGCAAAATTCGTCCAGTTCAAAGGGCAAGAGCTAGGACTTTTTGCTATATACGACGGACACCTTGGAGACAGTGTACCAGCCTATTTACAAAAGCATCTCTTTTCTAATATCTTGAAGGAAGTGAGTTGTTGAATCAAACTAAATATATCATGTATTGGTTATTACTTTAATCGCAATTGATTTCTCTGGAACAGGGTTTTTCTTCCTTTCTATTTTATGTTGCATATAGTATGATAAATTCCCAACTTCCCGTACTTTTTGGCAAACAATATCTTGTTATCAATCATATAAAAAGATAATCCATTTTAGTTTAATGTCTTGATGCAATTGGAAAACCTCTGTGCTTGCAAAAGAACTTTGCAAGGATAGGTAATAGTTATTTTGCCCTAATTTACTTGTCAAATCTTTGTATTGTCTTTTGCTGTAATTTCATTTATGATTGGTTATCCAGGAGGACTTCTGGAATGATCCATTCATGTCCATTTCTAAAGCTTATGAGACAACAGATCAGGCAATTCTTTCTCACAGTCCGGATTTGGGGCGAGGAGGATCAACTGCAGTGACTGCAATTCTCATAAATAACCAGAAATTATGGGTAGCCAATGTTGGAGATTCACGAGCAGTTCTGTCAAGGGGAGGGGTGGCTGAACAGATGAGTACTGATCATGAACCCAATACTGAACGGGGCAGCATTGAGGGTAAAGGTGGCTTTGTCTCAAACATGCCAGGTTCTTCAATTAACCTTGAGCTCTATGAGTTGTTCCTTTAGATGTTCAATGCTGATTTATCTTTTCAGACTATGAGATATCATTAACGTCTTGTGCTGGGGATTACTATTCTTGGTATTTTTTTTCATTCTCATTTTCAAATTACAATATGTGTGCGTGTTTTTTTATTATGCTATATGCATGATTTATATTAGTTAGAAAAGTAAAGGATGGGTTGAACTTGAATGAATGTTAAAAGGTCATCCAAGTTTTAATGGTTATATTAGTAAAATAAGTTGCACTCCTTGTGTAATAAAAGAATGTTTCTTGTCCTCCCCTTAGTATCCAAAATGTATTGGTTACATACCCTAAGAAATCTGAATTTCGATGAAAGCAATTATCCATCTTGTTTGATAAAGTGCCACCATTCCGATAAAAAAGATGATTGAATCATATTAGATAGCTAAAAAATATACTGCCATATGGTATCTAAGCTAGCGTGTAACATTATTTTGGCTAGTGCCATTTAAGTTTGAAACCTTGCTTGTGACTATTGAAATGCTAGGACATGTTGACATGTTTAGTATTTAATACTTGTAGGTGGTTTTATAGAAAAATATTTTTTTTTTCTAGGTGTTTGGTGTTTAAATCTCGTGTTTTATCGGAGCTTGTTATCATGCTCTGCTTGGCTCCCTCTTTACATGAAACATGACGTGATAACGAGAAGATAATACAAATCATTGATAGGTGTCTAAATTTATATATTTATGTAACCAATCAATTTACTTTTGTGGAGTTTTTGTTTCTCGAACAAGTGTCTCAAGTGCCACATAGGTTGTGCTGAAACATTTGTCAAAGTAGTCTCTAGAATTGTATTGATAAGTGATGAACCAAATGGAAATCCAAGTTTTTTAGTTCCAATGTTACATTTTTATCGATGTTCAATTTTTTTTGAAATTTGACACAAATAATCAAGATGATCGACAGTAATAATTCAAATGTTAGATCGATAAAAATTACATGCTATAAAAAGTTGGAGTGGTGTAAGTGTGTAAGTCTTGCACCAATGTCAATTGATTCCAGCCTTATATGTATATGCAAAAATACTCTGATTCCTTCTCGTTTGAGTGTTTTCTGTCATTTAATAATTTCTTCATTTGTGGGTTATATCAGGAGATGTTGCAAGAGTGAATGGGCAGCTTGCAGTTTCTCGAGCGTTTGGAGACAAAAATCTCAAAACACACTTGCGATCTGATCCTGACATTCAGTATGCTGATATTAATTCAGATATTGAGCTTTTGATACTCGCTAGTGATGGTCTATGGAAGGTTTTCCATCAATCTCTCTTTGTCTATTATTTCATAAATGCAAAAATACGCTTTTGATTTCTTTACCGTAGGTAGTAATAATTTGGTCCAACAACTAAATTTTATTTCATTTTTGTTCCAAATCTTTCCATAATTCAACAAATTTGTCCCAAGTAACTTCATTCGAAATGCTAACGGTGGCATCTTATGTGTGGACAAGTGCGCTATTGGTATTACATCATGTAGGATTTCTTATCATCCCAAATATTTCCCCCCAATTTGTCACAATCATTCATTCGAAACCATCACTCCCCATTAAACCTTGACTAGCGAGGGTAAGGGGGAGGATAATCCTTATACACAGCCTCACTCTTGCATATTTGCAAAGAATATGTTTTCTGGGTTGAACCCGTGCACTTATCCTCACTTGAGATGCCATCTTTATAAGGTCCGTTAGCATTTTTTTTAATGGTGTTAGTGGTTGGAACGAATTTGATGGATTTAGAAAAGATTTAGAGAACAAAAGTGACACAAGATATAGTTGGAGGACAAAAATGATAACGTTAACTGATGTTGCCTTTAAGAAATAACTATTTCATGTACTTCAATTATCACTTTTTACTCCAGGTAATGGCAAATCAAGAGGCTGTTGATATTGCAAGAAGGACAAAGGATCCAGAAAGGGCAGCGAAACAACTAGCTACTGAGGCATTGAACAGAGACAGTAAGGATGATATTTCCTGCGTTGTAGTTCGTTTCTAGGGATGAAAAAGGAAAACATAAATACTATCTAAAAGTTCATGGTATATATATTCTGCATATCAAGACCTTCCCTTCACAATTTGGAAATTTATGGAAAATAGGTTTTGCCCCTTCCCTTCTTCATGTGTAAAAATATAAAATTTGAAGTTCTTGAATTTAGGTCGTGCTGTTTAGTATTTCTCGATTTCTTCGTTTTTGTAGATTCATGCCATAATTTTTCTTTGTAATATGCATTGTGTGTCATGGAGCAGTGTGAAGATGGCCACAGTTTATATATTGAACATGGGATTTATGCATTTGTTTTAAACAGTGTATGATATATACTTAAAAGACACTAGCTTGAGTTGCTTAATCTCCGGCTATAATTCAAGTGAGGATAGCAAATTGTTTTGATGAATTTTTGGTTCTCATTTTCCTTTTTTTTTTTTTTTTTTTTTTTTTTCACATCCTATTTAAATCTTCACTTGTTCAACTACTTGAATTAAATCTGGATGATTGGTAAACGGTACATTCTTGGAGGACTTGGGATGATTAAGTTAACTAGCGCTTCTTATATGCTATTGTGGGTCTGTGCTATCAATTATTGAAGAGATTTCCTCATTTAGTTCTATTTTAATTACTTTATTTTATTCCTAAATATGCCTATTAAAGATTTAAACATATACAAGTAAATGTATCTTATCACATTAATTTTAAAAAAAATGAAAAAAAGCATAAAATGCACCTCTGCATATTAAATTGGACAACTTTTTTTGAGTCTCGCTGAATCTTTTTTTCTAGTCTTTCTGACGAGGTTACGCTTGTCATTTTTTAACACATCTTTATTTTTTTGAATTAATAATGTATCTTTTTATAATTTTACTAAATTAGATTACTTTTCTAAGTTTCAAGCAGTAATTTGGTCGCATGATACTTCTCTTGTCATGTCTACTTTTCCTTTGGCAATTAACGTGCAATAGACCATAGTAGGTTTGTTAACTCAAACGATCCCCAGGTTTGACCAGAGACTACTGCGACGGAAGAAAGTATTTAGAGAGAAACTTAAACTGAGTGTTGTGTGAATTTATAATAGGCCGTCTTAATTTCAGCACATGTAAGAAGGGTTTTATAATTCTCATTCAACATGAGAATTGAAATTTTTCTACACATCATTCGGTTTCTGTCCTGACGTGAGTCCTATACATAATTTTTTCTAACATATAGGTCTTACATATTTTTTGTCTCTACAACATAAGATTTCAATTCTCATGTAACTTGAGAATTATAAAACCTATGTAAGAAAATGGTTAAATTACTTTCGTATTCCAGGTGATAAAATCAACAATGATGTGGATACTCCCTTTTTAATAAATGAAGATTGCAAGACCTACGTTTATGGGTGCTAAATGAACCACTGGCCTTTGGCTTGGCTCATAAAGGTCTGAGTTTACATGTTTAAAATTGGTTATTGGAATCAGATTTGGACTTATATAAAGCTCGTTTAATAAAATGAACTCAGACTCCAATTTAAAAGCTCGGTTTTAAAGTCTCTCAAGCTGGCCTAATATATTAATTTTTATTTTTATTTTATATTTTTTATACTACTCATAATAGCTCCCTCTCACTTTTCAACCCATTTCATTGGTTAAACAGATTTTTTAAATGATTTTGTTCTATATTATGCTTTTTAAATATATATTGAATTTATGAATTTTTGTGGAATGATTAGTGCTGTTTATTATATATTCTGTTTGGATAAATTTTTGTTGTCTTATTTTTTTTAACAGGTTAAACCACAGTTTTATTTTTTGTAAATAAGTCAGGTCACATATATTCATAATAGGTAATAAACTAGGCATGACATATTTAAATACAGTCTTAACCTTTTAAGACCAAAGTTCGGCTCAACTCGACTCGCAAACACCTCTATTTAGGTCTAAGTGTTGGGAAAAAAAAATAACATCAATTTTTTTTTCTGTTATAAGTGGTTGAACACAAGCACAATAACTTTTTCAACAATTATGCAAGAAAACATTCTTAACGAGAGAAGTAAAAATTACGGTATTAGTTTAAGAGTCCATCCAAACTATTCATTATCAACAAGAGTGAAATTATAAGGTTATCCAGAGTCAACTACAATATCACTACTAAATAACTTAAACACAAATTATACTAAAAGACATATGCACATGTTCAATTTGAAATTAAATTCTATTACTAGAAAACTCCACTAAAGAATTCCAATTGTCAAATTAGAGTAACATAAGATAGGAATATTTAGGGAGGTTAACGGGCCGAGCCGAGCTTTGGTCTTAAAATGTTAAGTCTGTGTTTAAATGTATCAGCCCGACCAAGCCTGTTACCTGTTATTAATATAACTTGATGCACTTGAGTCACCATAAGTCATCATAATTGTCATTTAGAGGGGTTTTAAGGCCTTTTATGAATTTTAATAATTGCAGACGTTTCAGTTTGCATGACTTTATGTTTGGTTTATGATTATGTCTGTTTTGAGTCAGTTTTATTTCTGTTTTGTGTCAGTTTTAATATCATTGATAGTCCTTTACGTTATGTATTTCCTGATTAAAAGGGCTTTGTAGAAGGATGTGAAGGGCAGACTTTGATTTGTTGAAGAATAATAATATAGCAGAAAACTTCTGCATTTTCCTGAAAGCCTACTTTCCATATAATTCTGCATCATTTGGTATCAAAGCTCAGGTTGCCTTAAAGATGGCTGAGCAGGAAAATCGCGGAGGTCGTGGTCGTAGTCGTGGACGAAGAGGTCGTGGCGGCAGAGGATGCGGTCAACCTACCGATGACGATTATTATACTGATGCGAGAGATGCTGAAATTGAGGAAAATGACAGACGGATCCAAGAACTCGAACAACTGCTTGCAGAGGCACAGTTGCACGGGTCAGAAGGGAGACAAGAATCTGAACTGTCATCTCCAGAGGAAGAGGAGGACGAAAATCCATTTTGGAACCGCGAAATACCAAGGAGAGGTCGAACCGGTGATCAACCCTTCACTTCCAATTTTGGGATGAAGATCGAGATTCCAGAATTTGAGGGATCAACTCACCCTGACGTATTCATCGACTGGTTACACACCGTCGAGAGGGTTTTTGATTTAAAAAACCTCACAGATGAGCAAAAGGTGAAATTAGTGGCAATCAAATTGAGGAAGCATGCCTCAATCTGGTGGGAACATGTCAAGAAACAAAGAATCAGAGATGGAAAGTCTAAGATTCAAAGATGGGACAAGATGAAGAAATTGTTGCAACACAAATTTTTGCCTGCTCAATACAGACAAGAAGCCTTTATTGAGTATCACAATTTCAGGCAACGTGACCTTACAGTGGAACAATACACCACTGAATTTGATCGTCTTCGAATGCGTTGTGACATGGTCGAAGAAGATGAACAAGTGATTGCTCGATATCTAGGTGGATTACGGGATGAAATTTCTGATGTTGTGTACTTACAACAGTATTGGTCTTATGAAGATGTGTGCAAACTGTCCTTGAAGGTGGAAGGACAATGTAAAAGAAAGGGTGACCGTTCGAAGTTTCAATCAAGATTTCCTAGAAAAGAATTCGGAGCTAAATCAGTGAGTTCTTCAGCAACTTCACCTGCTGGAAGGAGTTCTATGCCTCAAAAAAATATTCCCAACAAGGAAGGGTCGATCAAAGGAGGTAGTACAGGAAAGAGGTGTTTCAAGTGCCAAGGAATTGGACATTTTGCTGCAGATTGTCCAAATAAACAGATTGTGACATTTGCAGAGGCTCCAATTTTTGATGAAGAACCAATCTATGACAATGTCGATGAACAAGAAGAAGCAGAATCTGAAGAGGTGGGGATTGTCTATGCTGATACCGGAGAATCACTAGTCGTTCGGAGGGTCTTGAATGTGGATATGGTGAATGATGAAACATGGCTTCGACACAATATTTTCCACACCAAGTGCACCAGTAGGGGAAAAGTATGCAGTGTGATTATAGACGGAGGGAGTTGTGAAAACGTGGTTTCTACCACTATGGTAGAAAAATTGGGGCTGAAAACAGAAGAACACCCACAACCGTACAAGCTGTCTTGGCTTAAAAAAGGGAATGAGGTGAAAGTAACCAAAAGATGCCTAGTGTGTTTTTCAATTGGGAAAAGATATTCAGATGAAGTATGGTGCGATGTCATTCCTATGGATGCTTGTCACATTTTATTAGGCAGGCCATGGCAGTTTGATAGGAAGACAAAACATGATGGTTTCAAAAATACTTACACCTTTAAGAAGGATGGCCACCTTATTACACTAGCACCTTCAGATTGGAGGAAGGATTTTTTAGAAGAAGTCATTGGTGCAACTGAGATATTTGCACTAGTGGTGATAGAAGGAAACGATAATGGTCCACATATTCCCTTGGAGATTGAACCTTTACTGACAAAATTCGCTGATGTAATGCCAGAGGAGATGCCACCAATATTACCGCCTATGAGAGATATTCAGCATTGCATAGACTTTGTTCTTGGAGCAGCCATTCCAAATAAGGCAGCTTACAGAATGAGTCCCAAAGAACATGCTGAGTTGCAGAAGCAGGTACAAGAATTGCTTAAAAAAGGGGCGGTCCGCGAAAGCTTGAGTCCTTGTGCAGTACCAGCATTATTGGTTCCCAAGAAGGATGGGTCATGGCGAATGTGCATTGACAGCAGAGCTGTTAACAGAATCACCATCAAGTATCGTTTTCCTATTCCACGTTTTGATGATCTGATTGACCAACTTCATGGCGCAACTATTTTTTCTAAAATAGACTTGCGTAGTGGATATCACCAGATCAGAGTTAGGCCTGCAGATGAGTGGAAAACAGCCTTCAAAACAAGAGATGGTTTATATGAATGGATGGTGATGCCATTTAGGTTGAGTAATGCACCAAGCACCTTCATGCGACTAATGAACCAGGTTTTTCGATCTTTCATTGGTTAATTTGTGGTAGTCTATTTTGATGATATTTTAATATATAGTCCATCTGTTGAACAACACTTGGTCCACTTGAGAAAAGTGCTTGAAACATTGCGTGAGCAGAAGCTATTTGTTAATGTGAAGAAGTGCCATTTTCTCACCTCAAGCGTGACCTTTTTGGGTTACATTATCTCAAAAGATGGTATTCAGATGGATCCAGCAAAGGTTGAAGCAATTACAGGTTGGGAAACACCAACAAGCATTCATGAAGTCCGAAGCTTTCTTGGTTTGGCTTCCTTTTATAGGAGGTTTATTAAAGATTTTAGCTCCATTTCGACACCAATTTCTGATTGTCTTAAAGGAAACAAGTTTCTATGGACTATAGAGGCGGAAGCTGCGTTTCAGATCTTAAAGGTTAAGGTAACTGAGGCCCCTGTTCTAATATTACCTAATTTTTCTGATGTGTTTGAAGTGCATTGTGATGCTTCTGGAGTAGGAATTGAGGGTGTACTAAGCCAAAAAGGGAAGCCAATTGCATTTTTTAGTGAAAAGTTGAATGAAGCCAAGAGGAAGTATTCGACGTATGACAAAGAGTTTTATGCTATAATTCGAACTTTGGAACATTGGAGGCATTATCTTCTATCTAAGGAATTTGTCTTATATTCAGATCATGAGGCATTGAAGTATATCAATGGGCAGCATAAGCTCAATGCTAGACATGCGAAATGGGTAGAATTTCTCCAATCTTTCAGTTTTGTTATTGTTCATAAAGCTGGAACTTTAAACAAGGTGGCTGATGCTGTGAGCAGAAAGCATTCTTTATTAACTACTATGCAGGTGAAGGTTATTGGCTTTGACAATTTCACGGAACTATATCAAGATGATCCAGATTTTAGAGACTTATGGAGGAAGTGCCAAATTGGACCCTATCAGCAATTTCAAATTGTAGAAGGGTTCCTTTTTAAAAATAACAAATTGTGCATTCCTCAATGTTCATTAAGGGCAGCCATTATACTTGAAGGACATGCTGGTGGCCTAGCAGGACACTTTGGTATTGACAAAACCAAGGCGCTGATTGGTGAGCACTTTTATTGGCCACGGATCGAATCTGATGTGACCAAATTGGTTGCAAGATGCAGGACCTGTCATTTAGCAAAAATGACAAAACAAAATAGTGGCCTCTATATGCCACTACCAATTCCAACCGCTCCTTGGGAAGATATTAGCCTTGATTTTGTACTCGGCCTACCGAGGACACAACGCAACAAGGATTCTGTTATGGTGGTAGTAGATAGGTTCTCTAAGATGGCACATTTTATTCCTTGCAATAAGACTTTTGATGCTTTGCAAGTAGCTAAATTATTTTTGCAGGAAATAGTCAAACTTCATGGTGTTCCAAAAACAATTACATCAGATAGAGATGTGAAGTTTGTGAGTCACTTTTGGCATACTCTATGGCGACTAATGGGGACCAAATTGCAGTTCAGTTCTTCACACCACCCGCAGACATATGGTCAAACAGAAGCAGTAAATCAGAGCTTAGGTAACTTGCTGAGGAGCTTAATAGGAAACAATCCCAAACATTGGGATTTGGTACTACCACAGGCAGAATTTGCCTACAACAGATCCCAGCACCGCACTACTGGCAAGAGTCCTTTTGAGATTGTCTATGGGCGTGCTCCAATTACACCAGTAGAACTATCACCTTTGCCAATTCAGAAATATTTTAGCTCCGATGCAGAGGAACATGCTAAGCACATAAAGGAACTCCACTCTCAAGTTCACAGTCAAATTCAGAAACAGAATGAGAAATACAAGCAACGGGTAGACAAGCATAGGAAGCAACAGATCTTCAAGGAAGGAGATCTAGTATGGATTCACTTGCGCAAAGAACGTTTTCCTGCTAAACGCTCTGGCAAGTTGCAACCCCGAGCTGATGGTCCTTTTAGAATCCTTGAGAAAATCAATGACAATGCATATAAGGTTGAGTTACCAGGGCAGTATAATGTGGCTGGCACTTTTAATGTTGCAGATTTATCCCCATACTGTGCTGAAGATGAAGGTGACATGGCAGATGAAGACAATGCAGATTCGAGGACGAATCTTCTCGTGGTAGGGGAGGATGATGCACTTGAGTCACCATAAGTCATCATAATTGTCATTTAGAGGGGTTTTAAGGCCTTTTATGAATTTTCATAATTGCAGACGTTTCAGTTTGCATGACTTTATGTTTGGTTTATGATTATGTTTGTTTTGAGTCAATTTTATTTCTGTTTTGTGTCAGTTTTAATATCATTGATAGTCTTTTATTGTTGTTTACGTTATGTATTGCCTGATTAAAAGGGCTTTGTAGAAGGATGTGAAGGGCAGACTTTGATTTGTTGAAGAATAATAATATAGCAGAAAACTTCTGCATTTTCCTGAAAGCCTACTTTCCATTTAATTCTGCATCATAACTATCGGCCTATGGCTTGACTTATTTACAAAAAATAAAAGTCTGGTTTAGTCTGTTTAAAAAAAATAAGACAACAAAAATTTATCCAAATAGAATATACAATCAACAACACTAGTAATTCCATAAATATTCATAAATTCAATGTATATCCAAACAATATAATATAGAACAAAATCATTCAAAACGTCTGTCTAACCAATAAAATGGGATGAAATGGATTGAGGAGAAAGAGAGGACTATTACAAGTAGTATAAAAAATATAAAATAATAATAATAATATACTATACCAGCCAGAAAGGCTCTAAGACCGAGCTTTTGAAGTGGAGCCTGAGACCTTTTTATTAAACGAGCTTTTATACAAGTTCAAGCCTGGTGCCAACAACCAATTTTAGACATATACGCTCAAGTCTTCACGAGTCGAACCAAAGGCCCCTGATTTATTTGGCACCCTAAGAATATTGACACAGTTTATTCTCGATTGCACAAAACCCTCTTGGACTCTTCAATTAAAAATTCGAACAGTCAAACTTTAGAACCATATGTTATGAATCTTATGTCAATATTTGAGCTTCATCTAACAATGCATTTGAGAGATATACCTCTTGAAAGACCGTTGCTTGTTGCAAAAAATGTGTTTGATTTGATAGAATTATGGGGCTATTACATACCTCAAATCAACAAATCCACCATTCAAAATGAAGATTGATGAGTCCAAATATGCTAGATTTTTTGTAGCTAGATCCCATGGTAGATGAAGGAGATATCAAAGATGGAAAAAAACCTAGACCTTCTTTTTCTTCTCTTTTATTTTTAGACACTATGATTGCTCTTACTCAACTCCTTTTGCAATGTGGTTGCTTTTACCCTTTACCACTTCAAAAGCCACATGTTATATTGAAATGTTAAAAGTGTCATTGGGTTAGCTTATAAGTAGAAGTTTAGCCAAACATAATTTTACAAAAAATTTTTATCATAAAAGAGGTTTTTTTTTTTTATAAAAAGGAAAAAAAGCTAAAAGCTAAAAAGCTTGTAGAAGGAGCATTTTTTAATATATATGTCAGCTTTTTGAGGTTTTCATATCTATTTTTCAATTATTATTATTTTAAATTTTTATTTATAATTTTGATCATTTATCCTAATAACAAATCATTTCATCTTCCCATTTTTTAAATCCTAAGAACAACTTTATAAAATTATCAAATAACTTTTAGTTTTATTTTTTAAATTTTTATTTTTTTAATTTTAACGTAAAAATAACTTTTAGCTATAAAAAAATGTGCCAGAACATATTTAAATAAAAAACTTATTTTTTAAGTGAAGATATCGAAAGTATGACAAACAATGACACTAATATGTTTTTTAACAAAAGCAAGTTATAACTACGTATTTAAATACCTGATCAATTTTCATATACTTGTACTGTTGTTTATAATTAAGTTATAACTAAGTATAACAATGTCGTTTATGTGTTTTTTTTTTTTTATAAACGGGCTAAGTCAGACTAACAGTTAGACTCATATTAGGCTTGGGTCAGGCCAAATTGAAATTTTTTGACGTAAGCTTAGACTTTTCGGGGCAAAGCTTGGTCCAACCCAGCTCACTTTCACCCCTAGTTATGGGTAGGTTAAGAATAAGGGTATTATTGTCTTAATTTGATTAAATATGCTAAGTTGTTTTAGAATTATAGTTGAAGGGGATTAATTGATTCAATTGAAAGTTTAAGGTGGTCTTTTAAAACAACACATAAGTACAAGGTGGTATTGTATAATTTACCCAAATAAATATAATACAAAGAAAAAACCAAATAATTACCCAAGCAATCAGTACTTTAAAACCCTTCCAAAACCCATTCTTTCACTTGAAAAATTATTTTCCTTTTTCCTTTCTTCACCCGCCACCAACCATTTCTCCGTGTACTTTAAAACCCTCTCAAAACCCATTCTTCTAAACCCCTCCTCGTAATTTTTTCCCACCTTTCTCTCTATGTTTTCTCTGGTTGACCATGTCCAAATCATTGAAGCTAATCAAGGAACATGCGTCCAACCCCAAACTCTGGCTGGTGATCGGATTAGGAGTTGCCGGGATCGTGGTTCTGGCAGAGACACGGCGGAGAAGACGGCGAGGGAAGACACACAAACAAGACTTTGGTGCTTTTGTTGAGCGTTTTGAGCTACCTCCCTTCCCCCAGCCTCCACCTCCTGTAGCCAAGCAAATGCTCTCTGCTCTAACCTTCGCCATAAACGACATGTTCGTTCCTCCAAAAAAAAAAAAAAAAGAGCAGTTTTTTTTTTTTTTTTTTTTTTTGTAAATAAAAGAGGAGTTTTTAGCTTTGCTTTAGTTTGACTTTTTTTTTTTCTCTTCCTGTCTTTCTTCCATGGGGTTGAAGAGAAACTTTGCTGATAGCTATTGTATGTGACATGTTGGTTTCTGGAAAAAAGTTGATATGTTAGTTGCTTATAGCTATATTTTTTTTTTTTTTTTTTAGGAAAATGAGTAAAATTTTTGACTTTTTTCTCCTATTTCTATTTTATGGGCTTGAAGAGAAAATTTACTGATAGCTATGGTATGTGATATCTGTGTAATAACATTTGATTTTCCATAAAGGACATGTTAGTCTCTATAAATTATTATTATTTTTTAAGCTTTGTTCAGTTTCATGTTCGTTTGAGTAAAAAAAATGTTAACTTTTTTTTTTAATTTGTTTTTTTTTTCCCGGGGTTGAAGGGAAAATTTGCTGAGAATGAGAACTATAGTATGTGATATTTTTATCTGGTATGTTGAGGTTTCTGATTTAGATTTTTATTTTATTTTTTATTTTTTATTTTTCTTCTGTTGTTGGGATTGGCAGATTTGATGTGAAGGGCTATGTGACGGGGTTTGGAAATCCTGATTGGAAGAGGACACATGAGACGGCGGAGAAGAATGCAGTTGTGGTGACTGCTCTGCTCAAGAGCGGGGCCACTTGTGTTGGCAAGACTGTTATTGATGAATTGTCTTTTGGGTAAAAGTCCTTTAGCTTTGTGTAGTCAAACTGAAACAATTAATTGTTCAAATGTGATTTACTTAAGGCATTATTGTGTCAGGATTTCTGGTGAGAACAAGTATTATGGAACTCCGACGAATCCTCAGATGCCATCGTGTATCCCCGGAGGGTCTTCTAGTGGTTCAGCAGTAGCTGTTGCTGCAGGGCTTGTTGACTTTGCCATTGGTGAGTTTATGTGGTTACCTCTAATTGCTTGAAATACTAATTTGTTGGTTTATTTATTATCATTTTAATTTTTTGGTCATTTATGAACCTGCTGTTTTCAATCTAGCAATCAACACCTCTAACTAGTTGTGGCATTCTGATACAATTGTATTTTATGACTGTTATTCTATTAAATTATATGCCTTATTTTTTTAGGTGTATTTCTTTAAATAATTGTTCTGTTAACCCTCCAAAATAAAAAGATCATTTTAACTACGTATCAATTTGGTAAAATATGATTATATCTAACAATGTTTCAAATATCTGGAATTCATGCATTTTTAATTTGAACTGAGTAAGTAAGATTTACACTTCTGTTTCATTGGTTGATGAGAGAACAGAGTGACGGTTTAAATTTCTTTTCATTCTTTCTTCTTCATTAATGTTGGCTTATACAATTATTATATTAATATATTTTTTGGTAACTTCTGTTTTAAATTATCATGTGAGAAAAGTAAAACATCTACATATTGTAAGGAGTTTTCTTTTTGTACTTGTTCCTTAAACCTAATTTTAATTCTTGTTGCAATAGTGAGGTGAGTAGCAGCTTGCTGACATTGTTAAAATTAAGTTCAATGTTTGCTGTGATCTACACAATATAATAGCTGCATTAAGTTTCATCATTCCAAGTCTTAGTTTTTTTTATTGTGATCTCTTCAATATATTATTGCAGAATGGCTTGCCATGCATATTCTGTTTCTTTCTGATCCGGGACAGACTTAATGGATCCTTGCAATTATATTGTGTCCTTGAAAACTGTTTCCTTGATTTTACTTTCTTAACTATATATGTGAACATGGAAGAATATTGTGTCCTCGTAGGTACTGATACTTCAGGATGTGTAAGAATTCCAGCATCATTCTGTGGTATTTTTGGTTTTCGACCATCCCATGGGGCTGTATCTACTGTTGGAATCCTTCCGAATGCACAAAGCTTAGACACTATTGGTAAGGTGCATAATTTTGTTTTGTTGCTTTGATTTTAATTTGTCATAAGTTAGATGTTTCAAATCTTAAGATCCTTCTTCCTCTTTTCATTGTGGGTAGCTTTATGGAAAGAAAATAGAGCAATTAGCTACATGTGTTAATAAATTGACTTGAGTCCTATATTACAATATATGGTTGGTAGTGCTTTCTACATTTGAACATCTTTTGTACATATGCTCCAGGTCTTGATCTGCCATCCTAGTTGAAAATATGATTAAGTTAATAAAAAATTACAGCATAGTGAGGTGAATGGGACTCAATCATTCTAACATTTTAAACAAAATATTTTAATCTATTTTCTTTAGATTGTTGATTGCTTAATTGCATAATTGCATTGCAGGATGGTTTGCCCGTGATCCATCCGTCTTACATCGTGTTGGGCATGTTTTACTTCAATTGAATTCAGTGGACACCAAAAGGTCAAGGTGTATCATATTTGCTGATGATCTCTTTCAGTTATGTGAAGTTCCTACACAGAAGACAATGTATATTATTGATAAAGCTATTAAGAATATGTCTGGGTGTAAGTTTCTGGATCTTTGAAGACCAATTGGTCGTCCCTTTCAGATTTATTAAAATTGATTGTTAAAATACTAGTTTTCTAATAGAAAAAGTTGATCTCCAGATCAAATTGCCGAAAGAAAAGGAAATTCATCTAAATTACAAAGTGTTTTGGTCATTTTGGTTTTGCAGATTGTGATCCAAAGCATATGGATATTTGTCAGTATATTGATTCAAAGGTGCCCAGTTTAAGGCTTCATGAGCAACCAACACGCCAACAAAATGGAGCATCTACTTTAAAAGCTCTCTCTTCGGTTATGCTCTCATTACAAGGGTATTCTATCATATGTTATAATGTTATATCATTTGATTTATCGTAATAGATCATGTTGTACTGTATGGCATGCTTATCTATTTTTCATTTTGATATTAGAAAAAATTTATTGAGGAGAAAAAATGAGCTTTGTACAAGTAAGGATTAGACAGTTCTTTAAATGGAGTACAAATAAAGAAGAAAACATAATATAATGAAGCTCACAGATCTGAGTATCAGTAATTGAAACACTCCTAAAAGGGCCGTAAGTTGAACAAAGAAGGAAATTTGTACGGGATAATCATGATGCAAAAGTATGTTTAATAACAATGACAACTAGCTGTGAAAAATTGGCAACTGTCGGTAACTTCAAAGGAAAAGCTAAATGTCATTCGTACTGTTATGAATCAACTCTTTCAAAAGTTTAAATTGTTAAATGAAGACATGTGAATGATTTTATATTATATATTTATATCCATGGTTGTCAAGATCGTGCTCAAGATTGTAGGATCATACAATCCTACCGTTTTCTTGCCACTAGCGATCCAAGTCGCAGGTAAAATCGTCCTCCATTGAGATTGTGTGGGATCGATGTGTAAACTCATAAAATTGGAGTGACCGGACGATCCCTCCATTCCGGCAATTTGGAAAAAAACCCATACTTGAATTGTGCGCACGACCCAAAATTTATATCTCTAAAATGCATTCACGCAAGAGCCCTTTGGGCTTGAAGCATGGCCCACCTACTTTGTGCTGAAATTCAACATTTAATTACAAGAACGGGGATGAGAAGGATTGAATTCTAGACCAGTTGGCCATAGAGGCTCTAATAACATATCATGAACCAACTCTCCCAAAAGTTAAAATTATTAGGTGAAGAGACACGGATGATATTATATGTCTAACATGTATAATAACATGCTTAGAGTTTCATTGATTTATCCTGGATTACGAAAGCTCACAAATCTGTTTACAAGTTGTTCTCTAATAATGCGAAAGTAATTGTTCAGGTGCTGTAATTACTATTACATTTATACAATAAAGACATATATCCTTTGCTTAAAACACATCCACTCATGTACTGAGTGGTATACTGGTTTTGTATTAATCTCTGTTTTATATACCTAAAATTTTCTTTCTTATCCAACTTATTCTGTGCAATCCACCCAAAATGGGATATGTAAATTGTGCATAACTCCACTCATTTACAATGATGCTTTCTTTGGCAACTTAAAGGAAATTTTATCCTTGAAAATATTATGATAAGTTGTCTAAAAGTTGTTAGAACACCTAACATTTCTGAAAGGTTTTCAATCACTATGCTGTTTTCCAGTGGCCTAAATTTCCTATTCTTTTGCTAATCTGAGTATCATTAAACATACCTGAGTTCTAGATATTTTTTGTTTGTTAGTTACTACATGTAGAAGCATATCAGTGGATGCCTGTGCCTGGAATATTTTTCTTAAACAATTTAAACTTTTCCTATCAAAGGAATTATCCTTTGCAATTAATAGGTAATTGTCTCTAAACTACTACACGCTGTGTGGTGTGTAATCACGTCTTATTTATTTACTTTTGATAGAATATATTGCAGCAGTGTATTATGATGACGGCCTTATATTTATTTGACAAATGGGTTTCCATCGGCTTTTCAGGTATGAATTTAAAACCAATCATGAAGAATGGGTTGTATCAGTCAAACCCAAGTTAGGTCGTGGTGTGTCTGATCGTGTTATTGCTGCCATTAATACTACACATGATAATATAAAAGCCTTGTATAAAGTCAGGACCGAGATGCGAGATGCTTTTCAAAGTCTGTTAAAGGTACTAGTCTGTTCTTGCCCTCCTTTCTTATATAGATTTTTTGAAGTAATGAACTTTTTTCAAGTTGTTATAGCTTAGATAAACAGAAAATTGGAAACTAGATGAGCAACCAGTCCAGTATAACAATATATTCCCTACTTAACTTTCGGAAGAAGTGGATGTCTTGACGTGGAATTTCATTACGTATGTATATTGGGAGATATCCTAGATTCTGATTCTTATAATGAAGAAGCTAAAATAATTTTGGCAAGTCTACTGTACGCATCCAGTCTACCTTATTATCTCCTGGTTTTGATTGTCCTACAGGTTGATGGAATACTAGTTATTCCCTCTATAGCAGACAGTCCATTAAAGCTTAATACAAAGAAAGGTTCTTCTGAGTTCCATGACAGAGCTTTTGCATTATCGAGCATTGCTAGTATGTCTGGATGTTGTCAGGTAATTTGAAATCTTTTAGGCCTAAGGTAATATTTTTCCTTTTCTCAGTTGTTTATTGTTCTGAAACTTTGTTCAACTTATATATTGACTTTTACATTAATTGCAGGCTACAATTCCATTAGGATATCATGGTGATTGTTGTGTTTCTGTTTCATTCATCTCATACCATGGAGCTGATAAATTTCTTCTAGATACGGTCTTGGATATGTATACAACTCTTCAAGAGAGAATTAGTTTTGGCTCCTATTCCTTACCGTTACCAGATACCAATGGCAACAGGGAAACTTCTGAACTTTTAAAGGAGAAGGTTAGTTTTCTGAGTCTGGATATTATTTCTTAAAAGTTTTCTTTGTAAGTTTAGTTTTCTAGTAACACCCATGATGTGAAATTGTGAAGTTGGATGCTGGTGAATGCAGTGTTTTAGAGTTTTAGATTTAAATGTTTTGGCGTCTCTAGATGAGATGTAATATCAATTATTGTTTTTGTGTCTATTTCTAGTAGTTAGTAAATAATGACTTTCTATTTGTAATTCTTTCTTTTCCTCTTAATGAATTTCTGCTCTTACAAAAATAACTAGATCAGATCAGCGTGAAAAAGTAATGGCTCTGGAAACATACATATGCTTAATGTTAAGTTTAAAAAATGTGCTACATAGTAGTTGTTCTTGGGAGAAAACCATGATATGCTATGCTCTGAATAATCTGATTATATCATCTAATTTATGAAATATTCTTTTAACAGATTTCATTCTTAGAATTATGCACATTTAGTTGTATCTTTTAGTCAATTAGGAAATCCCCAAATACAGGGATTCTGACATTAGAATATCTTCCTTTTCTGTCAAGGCTGACTCTGTTTAAATCCAGACTATGTATGCATCAGAATTATCATCAATAATAGAAATACATTCTGCAAATCTGAGATGTTAAAAGAAATGTTCCGATCTATAGGACTGAGTTTGTTTCCGCTACTGCATTTTGAGCCCCTTCTTCCTTCATCCGGTTGGTCTTCATTGCCAACAAGGCAACAACCCTTGCCACTGCTCTCTACATCCGGTTGGCCTTCATTGCCAACAACCTTTTCCGTTGATCTCAATCTGGTATGCTGCAATTTTCTCTTTTCCCTTAGTTGGCCTTCATTGCCGACCCTGCACTTCTGCAAGCCGTCTCTGCTGAGTCTCTCATTTCAAATCTCCCAAGCCTTCATTGCCGCAGAAAGTGCATGCTCTACCAATCAAGATGTCAACTGAAGAAGTTGTATCAAGCATAGTCGTGTCTACAGAGAACACCTGACCCCAACAGTCTGGTGAATTATAGAATATTTTCTAACATAGATGATTTAATAAGATTAATCACAGCATAATATGTCATGGTTCAGTCACAGTTCTGAGTTGTTTATGCATATAATATGTCATCATGGTAATTTAAAATATATTATTAGAAGTTTCCATTATTGAAGTTTTCTGCTGCTCTTAAGTATCATGGTCAGGGTTCTTTTGAACTTATTGATAAACATTAAAGACCAGCATTTGACAATGGTACAATTATTTTATCTTTTATTATATATGGGAATCTGTAGCAATTATTCATGAAACTGTTTTTGAATAACGACTGGATTTATAGCCATTGTTCATTCAAACTTTTGCCATGATGAACCCTAAAATTATCTTGGCATCATTTAATATAGTTGTACTTGAATTATTGTACTTTAAGAGAAGATTGTGGTAAATCTTGCGTGGATAATTTGATATAAGCTAGTAAAAGTCATACTTTTCAGGGAAATACAGCATTCAAAGAAAGGCAGTGGAATAAGGCTGTTAATTACTACAATGAGGCTATCAAATTGAATGGGATGAACGCAACTTACTACTGCAACCGTGCGGCTGCTCACATAAAGTTAGGATGGTATGAGGTTTCTTCTGTTTGTCAATTGTTACTTTTGACACTTTCACCGTCTCTGTGTGATTGGTATTTCCCCTGTGATTTTATGCAGCTTTCAGCAAGCTGCAGAAGACTGCAGTGTGGCAATATTGCATGATAAGAAGGTGAGAAAATGGGCATGTAACAGTGGCAGTTTTATGGAAAACTTATTTTTTAATATCTGATGTTTAATTATAATCTTTAAACTCTAATAACCACCAATCCTAGGAATGAGGTCTTCCTAATATTATACCAAGTGTTACAATATCCTCTAATCTTTCAAAGTGCTGGTCGCACCATCTTACCTGATGCCATGGGGATCTGTCTTTTGCAGAGAAGTTCACAGCAGGAGCTGATTATTGTCTGTGTTCCTTGATAATGTTTAATTACTAGATTCCTGTGTTTTTCCAGGGATCCTTTAGATTATGATACCGACTGGCTGAATCTGTTGCATACAAATATCTTTAACATGTATCTGTTTTGTTAAGAATAGTGCATAATTATTTCGATGCAGAATGTGAAGGCATATCTGAGACGTGGAACTGCCAGAGAATCACTACTACGTTATAAGGAGGCTCTTGAAGGTGATTTTTTTAAATCTTGCTTTCATTTCTGAGACACTGGAAAATGTCTTAGCAAAGTAATGAAAAGGTGAAAAATGGTTTGGTTGAGGCAGAGCTGTCTTGGCTATTAGAGAATTGCATGTCTGGCTATTGATGTAAAAGTGTAGTTCATTGTTAAGTCCAGTACTTGCCATTTTTGCAGCACTTGTGCACCCATTCGTGGTTCATTGTCTTACCATTATTTTTGGACTTTGTACTTCATATATCCTTAATGTTATTCCTTTTTCTCTCTCATTTTCTGATGTTATGCAGATTTCAAGCAAGCTCTTATTCTTGAACCACAGAATAAGGATGCTAGTCTTGCTGAGAAAAGAATCAGAAAATTGATGACTTGATATACCTAGTGTACTTTTTATCCCATGACCTCCCTCCTCCCTCTAAGAGTATGTCAATGGCTGTGGAAATATGTGATTATGGCTCCTTTCTTGCACCGAGTACCTTGGGAGTGAAGATGAATTGAAGAAGAGAAAGAAAAGATGAGCCTCCGTTGATGAGGTGCTGCATTGTTCTCATTTTGTGCATGTCTTGTAAAAAATCTTATTCAACCCTAATAGGTTATGCCTATAATTTTGGATCTGCACATGTAAGGTTGGCTTAGAAGAGAAACCTTGGGACAATGGTTGATGTTGCCATGTGACCCAAAGTCACGAATTCGATTCATGTTATCAGCCTCTTGCAAATGCAAGATAATACTACTATTATATATACATCCACTTGATGAGTGTGACCCTTACATGCACTCTGCACATAGGGAGAGCTTTATAGCATTTGTTAAAGAGATATCTCCAATCATTGTAGAGTTACCAAAACTCAGGCTTGAGTTTTGTGAATTGAAAAAAACAAGCACTGTCTCCCTAAAATAAATTAACCAACTCTTAAATTAGTGGGGATTTAAAATGACTTTTAAATTGTTGAATCTTATTTTTATAATGCTGGATTTGTCATGCAAGTTTGAACGGGAGACCCATTCTGTTGTAGGTGATCTTTGTAGAATCACTGGTGCAAGGGGAAGCAATATATTATAAAGTTAGATTTCCAATTTTCGCCGGATTTATTGTTTATTATCACCTGACAAATCTTTAGAAAGACAAATAGCCATTATGTCTTCCCTCTTATGTAACATAAATTTCAATTTCATGTTTTATTGACAAAAAATATTATATGGATTCTAACTTGCAAGTTTTAGGGCATATAAAGATTTTCAAGATATGTTACCTACGATAATCTCATTTTGTTTTTGTCTATTTAATTACAACAGAAAATATAGGGTGTCTGCAAAAGATTTGAAAAAAGGTACTTTTATTTTTTTTTAATTTTTTTAGTTTTTTCTTTCTTGCAAAATCATTTTTTTTCCTAACTTTTAATTTTTAATTTTTTAAATAATATAATTATCACTAGATTTTTTTCATTATATCTTTTAAAAATTATATTCAAAAAACACACAAATGAATTTACCAATTGATAGGAAGTAAATAGACAGGAAATTTTGAGCAAGCTTCATTAACTAATATTGTTGGTGATCCCTAATCGACTTTATTGGCCATAATTCACCAAAGAAAATAAGCTTACACGACTGTCTTCCCACAAATATTACCAATAAGTAAGTTTAGTATACTCCAAAATGACCTACTTTCTTTCACTATGACTTTTTGGCAGTTCCTGCACTTTCTCTTTTTCAACCATCAACTCTTTCACCATCTTTGCTAATCTTTCGTATCGTAATTCATAAATTATAATAGTTTAATATAAATAAAATCAACAATTAAGATTGAGATCAAAATTGGGTGTAATATTTATGCTAATGTAAATTGTTCTGCTATTCTTAAAGAATACTTTTATAAATGTGAATTTTGACATTTTATGTTTTTAGTCGAGGCTTATTTATGATTCCCAGATGCTACATTGACTAAATGTAAATTCTATCTTATTTATGATTGTTTGAGGCTACATTGATTGTGACAAAATATTTGGGGCATTGCTCGTAAGTTGAGGCAATCCACTTCATGCACTTTACCTGAAAAAAGAAGAAGAATAAACTATACAATTACAATATAATGGTATAAGTGATTTAAAAAACAGCCTTTATACTTACATAATAGAAGGAACTTGAGTAAAATAATTCTATTGGATTAATTTTCGTATTTTACTCACAATATATTATGGACAACGGTATGAAACTATTAAGGGACAATCCCTAACAGAGAAATAGGAACAAGAAAGAGGAACGGATACTTGTCCAATTTGCAGAATGGAAAGTGAATCTCTAATCCATGTTCTAAGGGATTGCCAGGAGGTAAAATTACTATGGAAAAAATTAATTCCCATATTTTTTGTTGCTGAATTTTTCTCGGTTAAGTTGGAGCATTGGCTAAAACTTAACATCGAGAGAAGAGTTGGGAATTCAGATTTAAAAATCAGCTTTCTATTTTTTTATTTCTTGTTGGAAAATTTGGCAATGGAGAAATGAGTATGTCATGGAGTTTTGATTCCCAATCTAGACACTAGAGAAAGCATAATACGAAATCTGGTTAAGGATGTTGACAGCGCATTCAACAATCCTAATAGTAATAGATTGTGCAGAAGAACAATGATCACCAAGATAGTCTGGCAATTCCACGACGAGGGATTCATTAAAATTAACTCTGATGGAGCTGCTCGTGGTAACTGTTGTTTGGTAATTTTTGTAAAAAAAAATATAGAATTCAAAAAGAATTCAAGTGTCATTCTCTGGGAACGGAAAATTCAATTTCTTTCGGTTATTCTTTTTTTATTTTCTTGAATGTGAATTTAATTGCTTTTTCAATGAAAATTATATTTTCTAAAATGCAAACTATAGTAAGAATGGTAAGAACACGTTTATATGAGTAAAAATGAATATTAAAAGTCTAGAATTCTGATTTCAATGACTTTCCCTTAAAAAATGCATGTCTGCGTTTTAACTGTAGCACCTATCTTGATGGAATCTGACTTTTTGTAGAACCTCACTAAACTTTCTCAAATTTAGTTCTAAAATGATTCAAATTAATCCCTTAATCTTGAATCATTTTATTGATGACTTGTAATCAAATTCTTTCCTAGATTATTCCTAATCTTGAAAACTTGAATTAATGAAATCATGAACTCAAATTTCCCAATACAAGTTCATGCAATAATCTTTAAGCCCATTCCCATGGAACTCAAACCAAATAATTTTCACTAATCAAACGTCAAGAACATGCACAACAATTTGAATCAGTTAATGGGTACTTGTCATTTTCATCAGAATTCTAGATGAAGGATTTAGCAATGCATGTTGAAAGATAAAACAAAAATGAATTCTAAAATAACATGAAACATATTTTTCATTCACAAAGAAAAGAAATAGTAAAAAGTGAAGGTACATACCAATATGGTTCTTCACAAATTCAGATTGTAAAACTATGAAAAGCTTAAGAACAGAAAAGTAAAACCATGAGTTGCACTGAAAGTTTGCCTTCTTGAATCCCTTCAAGAGTGGTGTTCTTCCTTGTGCATTGTCTCCAAGAAACTCTAAGAAAATTAAGCGCTTTAAAATAAAAAACTGAAAAGCTAAATTTCTTCTCTTCTCCGTCCGACGAAAATCTCCGTTCTATTTATTACTAAAACATGGTTTAAACTAAAGCTTCAAGTACATGCTGGTCCCTTAGATCAAACACAAATTTAATGGTTCTCATATTGCCATCTTAGCTTCCCTTTTTCTTTTAATCCGCCATGTGTCATTTTTTGCAGTAAAAAATGAAAATAATTAATGAAAAGTTAAATTCTCTTTTTCTACCCCTTTTTACCAACTTGGGCTTACTCCTTTAGGTTTGGCCCACTTTTACCTTCACATTAACACCATTCAGCCCAAAATCTATAGGAGAAATATCACTAATTTGAGTAGAATTTAAGACTAACAAAATACCCCAAACTTAGGCTATTGCTTGTCCTCAAGCAATCAAGTAGTTCTCAAGTAATTATCAGCTATTTTTTTTCACCAAGTCAGTTTATCAGTCAATCGAAACAGTGTTTAGACATTTTATTTTTCCATTTATCATTATACATCACAGCCATCAATTTTAATCAGCTATATTGCCAATTAAAATCAATATCAGATTAGTGATTCAATTCAAACTAACTTATCAATTAAATAAACAGAAATCAGTGCTATAGTTCATAACAAATAATTACACACATAACTTATATCAGACAATGCTTAATCAAAGAATTCCTCACTGGTCTTTTCCACTCTTTATTTTTTTTATAGGTTAGTTACTCATCATCATCTCTGCATTGTGGTATCCTAACTTAAATTTTACCTAGACACTTAATGTCTAATTTTCCATTTCCATCAAAAGGTCTTTTTAGGCTTGTAATGGGGCTAGGTTTGGTCTTTTGTTTTTCAAGTCAGATTGGCTAACCATGGATGGCCTTAAGTGTCTAACTAATCCTCAATAGACTTATAAGACTATTTTGCTCACTGATAGGAAGAAGCTGCTTCTTTTCTCTCTATTTTTTTTTACTAACTCACTTCCTTTCATCAAATGCTACCTTTTTTTTTTTTTTTTATACTAACAACCTTTCTTTTCTTTTCAATTCCATCACTTGCATTCTTCACTTTCATCATTTTTTTTACACCCCCTTTTATTTTGTTTTGCCACTAGGGGTTCTTTCTCCTCTTCTTTTCTACTTGATGCTTCCCGTTCTTTCTTTCTTTTTTACACCTTTCACTTTTTTTTAAGCTAGCTTCTTCCTGCCATTATTTACTGTTTAAGTCTTTTTAGCCTAGGGAAATTAATTAAATACTAAGGCTTCAAAAAAAAAAAAGGTAGGAAATGGGATTTGGTTGCTACTATACAGGTTATACATCATGAAAGAAAAGGTTTAGGCTCAAATAAGGGTTGCAAAGGATTAAATTGAAATACAAGGTAGGCTATTTGGCTCTAGGCTTTTCAATCACAAGGTAGGCTATTATAGAAGGTAACACTGTTGATGTGTGCCTAATTAACAAATCAGAATGAAATTGAATACTCATATGACAAGACATCAAATGCAAATAAATCTGAGTTTATATTAATGGCTGCTATGCATAGATAAATCAGAAAAATAAAGTTGCTAAAGTTCAGAATTTTGTAAATTTTTATCTTTTTCTCAAACTCAGCATGTGTACCCACACCCAAACTTAAAAATCAGTTGTGTACTCACAGCAAATAACACAGGGGAGAGATCACATGACTAGAAAATATGATATTAAATGAAAAATTCATAACATGGCACTGCACTATATCAGGTAATCAAAATGGTATATCAGTGTATACAAAAGAGTGATCATGAAACCTGTGAGACCATGAATATGGTCTACTTAAGATTATGAAGCTGAGGAGTATGTTGCTTCTGAGACTGAATCCTACACTTCAAAAATTTTGCAGATAGAAGCTGAGATGAAAAGCAATTCAATTGACCCAAATAGTAGCAAACATGTAATGGCTTCTATTATTCCTTGCTTCCAAACAATCACAATGACTAGTGTCAGCATGCATTGGTCACAAACATAATAGTGGTGATAGCCAGCCCATGTGCATGAGTCATCATGTTGCACCTCTTAGGCCAATTTTTGATAGCTAGACAAAGACACATTAATATCCAAACAATAATACAATGTAGCATC